TTGACAGATATCCTATGTTTAACAGCTGTCTCATAAGTAAACAGAACATTAATATCATTCAAGTTAATAACAATCTACTTTGAACTGTTTACATTACTTCCAAGTGTTCCCGGCTCCATTGTTCAAAGACAAAGATAATATATAGACGTCACCCATGAGCACACATAAATAATTCTCAATAAAAAAAATTTTTGTTTTTAAAGACAAATAAAGTAAAAGTTTGATGTACCAAAAAATACAAGAGGTTAATTCTTAAAATAGTCAAATTTACAACCTCTTCAAAAAATTTGATTAAAGTACTCTTTTAATTTCTAAGCAAAAGAGGTAAACAGTTTTTGATGTCTATGTCTGCAGCTGCTGGTTGTGTAATTTGATTTACTCAGTATGTTCAACTGCCTGGAGAAGATGGAAACCAAATATTACCACTGTAGCAAAATGGTGAACAATATACAGTAAACACTAAGTGGTAAGGAAGAGAGGGTATTTTAATAGCATACATTAATTCATTTGCTACTAAAGCCTATCTCAAAAACCTTCAGCAGGCACTAAGCTAAGGGAGGTAACCTCTCCAACAACTTTTCTTTGAAATAATTTTAAAAAATAAGTCTATCATTTGTTTAATTATTAAAATGTCACAAACTATACTTATTAAATAAAGAAATGTGTTATCTCAAAAAAATATAATTTAATGTTTTTCTAATAGTATTCATCGTTTAGTGATGCAACTATGCGGTCAAAGTCTGCAACTAAGTGTCTTGCATCATTTCTATTATTTAAAAAAATAATTTAAAGATTTTACAAGAATTGCTTCTGATTGCTAATTTTAACAGCTTAAATATCTAACATAATATACATTATATTTAACTATCTGATTATTAAAAACGAACTGAAAACTAAGATAATGCCAAAGCAATGGTTTATGTGAAAAGAAGTGCAAAATTTGTCCGTAAACTTAGTATAAATAATAACAAAAAAAGCTAGAATGTACTGTTTTTTTTAATAGGAAAAAACAGAAACACCATAGGTATACGTAAGTATTGGCTGTCGCATCATGATGCATTAATAGCAAATGAGTTAACATAATAATTGTTTTTTAATAAACCGGGAGTGATCTCCCCTAAACTTTCTCGAATATTCTTATATAAAACAACAGGGATGGGAACTCAAGCGACATGATTTTTAATCCATTTTAAATACTTAAAGTTTTAAAAATAGAATAAAATCTCGTAGACAAAAGAATTGCACATCAAGTGAACGCTAAATTAAACAAGTAATTAAAAAAAGTCTGGTGACAATTTTAGCGCAATTTCCTTATGTTATCTAAAAATAGCTCTGTCGTAGCGTAAATCAAGAGCAGGGTTAGTAAAACCATTGGTTAGTTATTAAAACGTTTTTTATTAATTTTTTTTTCAGTATTTTACATGTTTTATTTACAATAGAGTTACATGACTAAAAACCATTGCGCGCCTAGCTACCGAACGTGATGTCGCAGCTATTGAACGTGATGGCGCAGCTATTGAACGTGATGACGCGTGTGGTGTGGTTGCATAAAATGCCTACTAATTCGGTCCAAATTTTAATTAATTCAAAAAAATTTTTGTGACCAAACGAAAGGGTATTTTTGAAAACTTTCTTCGGCAATATTGTTCTAAATTGTGGCAGGAATCGATTGGTACATGTTTCAAGTCGCTAAGTGGTCTGGTTGCCGGGATATGGGCCAAAAACTGAATTTTTTCGAGGTTTTTTGGCTTTTCCGGGAAATCCATGAAAGAAACCCGGAATTTTTATGGCCTATGTTCATCCTCGTAACTTGCTTAACATAATTGTTTTTGTAACTAGTCATCGATATTGCTTCGTTGAGGAGGAGATACGACTTAAAGCTGCGGACACACATCCATACATTCATCCATCCATCCAGAAATGACGGGTTAATAAACGCAATTCTCCAGAATGGAAATTGTGCTAAAAAGTGCATAATAGTGCGCAATATTATTAGTACTTTAAAAATGTACATTAGTTTTTTGAGAAATCGGAAGTAGCGTTAATTACTACTTCCGGTCAATGGAAATTACTCAAAATTTAACAGAAGGTAGAGAATTAGATCTTTTACTTACAAGTGAAATTTCATTTATCTATCTGAAATAGTACTCAAGTTATAGGCTTTTGAAAAATTCAAAGTAGAAAAAGTACCACTTCCGGTTATCGGAAATGGCTCAAAAGTTGATACGGATCTACGAATTTGATAAAATACTTATATATGAAATTTCATAAACCTAGCTGTCACGGTACTCAAGTTATCGTGTTTACACACGGACAGACAGACAGACACACAGACATAATGGCAAAGCCCAGTTTTTCAGACTGGATTACGCATAAAACCTCTTAATTTTGATAAATCTGGATTGATAATTTTTGCCCGATTAAAATAAGACCTCTATACTTCGGATGTGATGAAGGACTGAGGTGTAATACGGTGAAAATTGTTAAAATTTCAAGTGATTTTTGTGCACGATTACAATACTTTCTCTATACTTCGTATATACGAGAAAGTAAAAAGCAGGAGTCCTTTTTGTAAAAGTGCTTTGAAAAAACCTCAATTTTAAGATTTTAACAGAGTGAGGATAAAAGATAGTCATCCTGATAATGTTGATAAAGTTATACTTTTGCTATTTATACTGAAGACACAACTTTAATAGTTCATTGGCAATAACCTCTCAAAACTCTTTGATTGCAACAGGTAGGGTAAAATTATTTCTTTCAGTATGTACAAGGAAGAAAAGACATACCTGTCAAACATCTTGCAGTTCAGGGGGGAGAGTAGACTTGGGGTGTTTGTTTTCAAAATGTTGTTTGAAAGTCTTTGGGTCTGGCATCTGAGCCTGTGAGGTAATAAAAACTTTTTTAAAAAAATGACACACTGGATATTTAACAAAATATTTACTGACTCACACAAAGCTATTTTATTCAATTATTTCACCATCAAACATTATTACCACGATTATACAGAGGGTAAATCAAGTAAATGTTTTAAATATCAGCCTTTATCCCAGTAAGAGCCTGAATATTAGGACAATATTGCCAGTTTATTCTTCAAAGATATATTAGTGTTCACTTACTTTGAAAATTAAAAAAAACATACCTTGCACACAGGACACATATGGACTAATGCCTTTGCTGCAGCTTTCTTTTGATCCTGAAAAGTGGTGCTGCTTTTTTTGAGATCAGCAGCTTTCTTTGCCGCTTTCTGTTGGGACTGAATCTTCTGCTGGCCACGAGCCATTGTCCCTTAGAAAAAAAAAAGAAAATTTCAATTATTAACATCAAGAAAATGGTTGAGGTGGGGGAAAAATGATAGGCACCTTTTAATGAGCGATGGGGACAGAGTATAAGTGTAACTAAAACCATTTTAACAAACACGACTAGCTTTGACATGTTTATTTTATTAATGCAAGATTAGGATATGAGACAGGAAAAGAGCGCAAACCCCACAATTCTATTACCAAGACTGAACTTTATTTTACAACACTAAAACTTAACACACCCACTTTCAGACACTTAAAGGAGGAATTTTGGCTACTTTAAGTATATAATGTTTTATCTTTGAAGTTTAGGGCCCATAAGATTATTACAGTAGGTCTTCTATTTTGTTAGCCCTATGCCTACACTAATAACACTTAGTAAACTCTAGGATAAAAGTTTATTTTTTAAAGTTATAAATGAAAAACAGGCCAGAGAGCTTGATTTTTTCAGGCAAAAGTTAAGATTTAAAATTATCTAGATCTAGATGCTTTCAAGAAAACAAATTTAGCCTAGACTAAGACAGTAGATTCCTAGACCTACCCTTAACTTTACTTAACTAATTAATAATTATCATACAATATCACACTTCATGAGATGTTAACTCAGTTGAACAGAGTTGTCACAACTCACAACTGAGTACAAACTGAACAATGCATGTGACCTAGATTTCTAGATATAAAGATCTAGATATCTAGTCCTTAATTTTTTTTTAAACTTTCATATCTGGTTATCTGATGCCTTTGTAAATTGAGTAGGCTAAATTCTAATCTACTAGATCTAACTAATCCACATGAGTTCACATGACAAGTCAATCTGGATTTAACTGGATAATATTTCAAGATTAAAAATAAGTGTATTCTAGAACTGGGCATATACTATATAGGTAAGTTGTTAATGATAATTACTAATTATGAATTTTATTAGGCCTAGTACATCTAGTTTGATCTAAATGTTAAATAATCCAGTATGGTCATGGTGGTTATTTTTTTTTTTTACTAAGAGTAAGAGTATCGAAAATTGGTAATGCCAATGGCAACGGGAGGAAAGTAGACATGAATCTAATAATCTATTATTTTATTTTAATTCAATATGGTCTCTAGATACATAAAATATGACAAAAGTGCTTGTAAAGAGAGAAACAGAATATTCATTTTATACATAATTAAATTTAAAAACTTAAGTTACAAGTCTACTACAAAGGGATATAGATTTAGAATCTACCTCTAGCCGGAGTGAGAGCCGAAAGGCGATACGCTTGTGATTTTTTTTTTGTTTTAACGTTGTTTACTTCTTTGACCGCTTTAGCAGTTGCACACGACCCTACTACGGTGTTTACCTAAAATTTGAACGGGTGAGAGATTTTTCAACAAAATTTATACTTATCATATTAAAGCACATTAAAAATAATATCTGATAGTTTCATCTTCCAAACAACAAATATATATTATTTATCTATAAATAATGTGCATATTTAATTCTTTGAGCATTGTGTCGTTGTGAGAAAAAAAAAGTGCAAAAACAGATATTGCAACTTATATGCTGAGTACTTTTTTGGACCCTACCCGTAATTTCTAAAAAACCAGGATCAGGAAATAATAACAGGTTAATAATGTTAATTTCCTCTGAAGTCTAGCACCTTGTCCTTAGTCTTTTTTTCAAGTCTAGACCTTTGGTCCTAGATTCTAGATCTAGATCTAGATTCTAGATCTAGTTGTATTAACTAATGCATAAACTTTAAAGATCTATACTTATTAGGTAGGAAAATAGTTTAAGGGATCCGTTTTGTTTTAGCTATTCCGTAACTAAACTAGATCTAGATTTAGATCTAGATCTATCTACTAATCTAGTATCTATACTATTATAAATACTAGATCTATAAATCTATATTCTATATTGAATATTCTTAAATTTCTTATGAATGAGTATTGATTGACTCTTGAGTATGAGGGAAATTTCATATTAGAAAAAAAATATTCATAAAAAACGTTTTAATAACAAGCTTTTATGTAATGATGCACTAAAAAGTAGAAAATAAATTATACACTACTATTTAAATTACTATAAAGAAAAGCGTGGGTCACTTTAGTACTTTAGTACCTATTGGATACCTTTACTAGATCTAATATTTGAGAAGAGACCCACGCTTTTCTTTATAGTAATTTAAATAGTAGTGTATAATTTATTTTCTACTTTTTAGTGCATCATTACATAAAAGCTTGTTATTAAAACGTTTTTTATGAAATTTTTTTTCAGTACTTTACATGTTTTATTTACAATAGTGTGACATGACTAAAAACCATTGCGCATCTATTGAACGTGATGGCGCGCCTACTGAAGGTGATGGCGCAGCTATTGAACGTGATGAGGCGTGTGTTGTGGTTGGATTAGGGACTACGATATCCGTCAAATCTCGGGCCGGAAACTGCGCTACCGCCGCCGTATCAAACTTGATTCTGGTTTCCGTCAGGCAAAACATAGCTCACTGTATAAAGCCAGATTCTCATTTAAAAATTATTCACTTCACTCAAATCGTCATGAATATCGACCTAGGAATAATCCACCTTTCTATTGATTAAAACTTTTTCTCTTCACCATCGACGTATCTTCGAGTAATTCACACTTCTCGGACAGGTATGTATAAATATTTAATTTATTTAATATCTAAACCAGATAGTCGTTTTTTTTTAAAGATACACCTAGATTTTTGTTTTAAGTTTCTTATAAAGTCTTTATTTTGTAAATTTAACCCTCGCATGAATTAGATAATGCCTCGCGAAGTGAACATGGCCTTAAAATTTCAGCCGACGATCGGCAAATGGCGATAGTTACCTATTATCGATAATGGTCGATTTGGTTAAGAACAATGATACCTATTATGTATCTATTAAAATCTCAAGTAATTAAAGGCATCTGCAACTGATATTTATATTTTAACAATGTTGAATCATTATATTTTATTAAAAAGACAATATTTTATTGTTTTTCAAAATATTTAGTGTTGGACCAAAACTGAATTAGCATTTCGTTTTCTTGGAACAATATAGAAACTTGAGTGTACAAGTTAACATATTACTTTCTAGTATCATATAATAAAAAAAAAGATAGCATTCAAAGCTTTTATTTCTTCTTATTTCAGTAATTCAAATGGAGTGGCCTTCCAAATCTCTTCAGGACTTGGAGCTTCTTGTTAGTTCACAGAAGGACAGAATTATGATGGCTTTGCGCTCTACATTTTTGCCAGTAACAAGAAAAATGCACAGAAGACAGCAGCATAGGTTTTGCAATTAGGAGAACAACTAAATTATAATGCTACAACTTGTTGTAAGTCATCTTCATGCCAGAATAACTTCAGGATAGGATGCTAGAGACAGGAAATTTTATCTACTTTTTTGTAGAATGGAGGGGGCGAGGATTAAACATAAGTGGAATGTTAAAGAGGGGAGATCTGTTTTAGAAGTATAATAATTTTTTTAAGTTAAAGAAAAAAGTCAGCAGTAAAGTGTAGATTCACTTGGAGTAGCCTATTGGATTGCAAATAAAAGAGGAGTAGGATGACAATGTTAGCGCCTCTATTGACAGTACATTACTTATTAGTTATTAACTGATGTTGTTCAAGGCGATTTGTTATTTTGTTAGTGTTGTGGTCATAAATTACTATGTAAATTACTATGTAATTTATATTAAAATATGTTTTTATTAATACCATTAATGGAGTAATTCTTTTTTAACTAATTTAACTGTCTATTTATTTTTGTCTAGATTTATGTTTGGCGATATCCGAACCTTTACCGGTTGGAGAGAAATGAGTCTAAAATTACATTACAAAGCTCCAGGTTATGAGGTCCCTTAAAGTGACTCTTAACACATTCAGATTGTGGCATAATATTGATATTGATAACCTGTTAGATTTAGAATAATGATAAACTTGAAAAAAGTCACTTTACAAAATTAGGGGGGTTGCATCACCTCAAGGCACACATTTTGTCATCCCTTTCATATTTTTACAAATATGTTAAGTTTAATTGCTTCATAACATATTAATCTTGAAACTCTGAAAATTTGAATACAAATTTCCATGTAATAGAGATTTGGCATTGGTTTATATGAAGAACACACAAAATTTGCCCGCGAAATTTACCACCAAATCCTATAGTAACTTTTAATTCAGTAAAAAAATCATAACTTTAAAACAGAATGTCCAATTTTGAAAAAGTAAACTGTTTTGTCTTAATCTGATGTAGCTCTTTAAGATGATATGCTTTTTAACCTAGGTAAATCATTTTGAAAATTTTCTCAAAGTCCCTAGTTGGATAGACATGCCTATTGATTCGGTCCAAATTTTAATTAATTCATAAAAAATTAATTAGGCATCCAATTAAGTCAAATTTAGTTTCAGATTGCATTGTCTTCATGTCTTGACCCACGTGCCAAGTGTGAATCGTATCGGTCAAGTCGAACTGTCCGAATTTTCACTCCTACGTTTCTATCTAGACTGACGACAGACTGACGACTTACGACAGAGGAAGTGAGTTAAATAAAAGCTTGTAAAAAGGCCGAAAAGGGCAAAAAAAAGGCAAAACAAAAGTCAAGTGGCAAAAAAAAAAAAAAGGATTGTTGATATTAATTATTATACTAGTATTACTAGGACACTAGATCTAGATTCTCTAGGTACTGAACTGTTACTGTGTTAGTGTGTAGTACTATTCTGAAGACGTAATAAGACAGTGTTGAGTGATTAGCCTAGCTGAGTGTAACTCAAGTGTAAGTGTAAGACATACATGTGGGTACTGAATTATTATGTCATGAGTCATGCAAAATCTGGTTTTAAATGATAAATAATGCAATAAGAAACTTTAATTAATCAATAAATAACAAAGGTGTGAAAACATCCATCTATATATATAATTCTCTTCTTGGAGACGTTAGAAAACAACCTGTAAGAACGCTCCCTACCACCCCCACCCCTACATGATCTGGTGAGCTGTGGTTCACGCTAAATGTTTACAATCGTAGAGCCGGGTTTAGTGACGGCTATTAGGGGCAGATAATGTAGTTTGAAACGATTTTAATCTTAGGGGAGGTAACTAAGAGGAGGCTGCTTTCACGGGAGGGGGGGTGGGTGGTGGTTTAGGGTACGGGTTGGGGGAAAGGAGGGGGGTATTGTCCTTAACGAGCTACTGATAGTGTTTTAAAGCAAATATTTTCAGTGGCAGCATTGGTACTGTCGAATTCACAATTTATGAATTACTGAAAAGTAGAAAATAAAACAACTAAATAGCGGTGTATGATTTGCCGCGGGTCGGCTCGTAAGATATAATTATAAATATAAGAACACACACAGTTTAGGGGTCATCCATAAATGACGTCACACTTTTTTGACGATTTTTACCTCCCTCCCCTCCATTACACATCGTCACAAAAAGCCACACCCCCCCCCTAAAATGATGTCACACCTCATCCTACAACCCCCCTCAAAATTGCTGTTGAATTTTTCTTAAAACGTCGACATTTTTCCAAAATCTTGTCAGAACTCTCTCAACAAAGAGTAGTTTAATCAATTCCTATTACAATTTATTAAAACAGTTTTCTAAAACCCGAAATAACTGCTAAAATTAGTTTTCTAACATTTATTTTTGTTAATCCAAAAATGTGACATCCCACCATCTGAACCCCCCCCCCCCCTCACTCCCCCTCATCACACACCGTCACAAAATTACAGACCACCCCTCCCCCCTACAAGTGTGACGTCCTTTATGGACGACCTCTTACCCCACTGATAGACTACATCTTATTCTTAAGACGTAAGTTCTAAATGACTTAGGTGTAATCTTATCATTTATATTTAGGCCCTACTTATTCACTATTTACATTTAGGCCTAGCCTACTGAATTATGCAAGGTTAGAAATTTTTAATTCATCCATTGTTGTGGAAAATCAATTAATTAAAACTTGAAATTAAATTCATAATAATGCCTAACTATGCCTCATTTTGATTCATAATTTGTTACTTTACTTTTTTAATTTATTGACTTTTTGTAAATTTTTTCCAATGACAGAAAACAAATGACATTCCCACTACATTTGATGACACAAGGTGTCAGCCAGCTATGTCAGCATTGTGGGTCTGCACATAAACTGCTGGCCACATCTCTAGCAGGTTTCTCTATTATCCCTCGCAGAAACAATTGGAGGAAAAACTATGCAAAGCGTGAGGCGAAGAAAGAAATAGTAAATGAATATGTTGGAGAAAATCCTACAAAGGCCTCCATCATATATGCCTGGGGATATGTAAATTCTGGTGCCATTGGTAGGTTAACTAGATTACAAGTAAAAGTAAAGTTCATAGTTTAAAAGTTTATAATTAGCAAGTATTCTCCTTGCACAATAGCAGCTTAAAGAAAACAAATAGTGATAACTGTTGTTTATGATTGCTCAGAATTTATCATTATTATTACCTCATTGACTTTTTAAATATAAATATTCTAAAACTAAAAATGATTTTAAAATGTACAATTATCTTTTTAAGTAGAAAATGGAATGGAGAATTTATTATAGGAATCACAAATTGACTTCTTTTTTTTACTCTTGACGTATTAATTAGAAATTTGAATGAGATTATTGACTGGTGAAAATGTAGTTAGATGTTGTAGTTAAGGGGTGTCATTGAAATCACCCAGCACTGATAGGTATAAGATATGGAAAGTAGGGTGTGCTCGCCAAGGAATCTTTTTGTTAACCTTGTTATCCCAGATGGCAATCTGTTCTTCAGTTGCTATAGTAAGCATTCAAGTTGTAAAAGTAAACTTTTGACCTGTTTCTGTTATCACTGCATATAAAGGGATAGTGTGGGTCAGCATTATGACCAGCTGCCTTTACTTTGCCTTACATGAGTCAGGTACCCTTCAGAACCGGGGATCGGAGTTAGGGACTTTCTGGTTAACAGTTGTACGCTAGTTGCCATAGTTATGCTTTATTATCTTTACTGTTGATGCTATTCTAATAGAGATTCTATTGTCAACAACTTTGCAGTGTTTCTTTTATCTTGTAACCAAAAAATTGCATTTTATTATGGAATTTTTTACTTGTTGACTTTAATTCATTGATTGCCCAGCTGTTTGGTAACATGATTTTTTTAAAAAATAAGCTTCTGATGTATTCTTCTTCTTCTTTGTTCTTAATTTTAGTGTTGGAAGGGATTCCCTCCAACACAATTTAGTATTGCTTGTCAACTATGTTACGTACCATATATAGGACATTGACTCCGATTTCAGCCTTCTTTTCTTTTTGGATTTGTTTCCATAGCCTTTGTCCAAACAAGAACAAACTACAAGGCAGCAGTTGCTTTATTTTGGAATTTTCTCTCCTAGATGAGTGGCTGACCCCAGCTACAGAGCCTCATCTGCCCAGGGGTTTGAACACAGGATGTTGTGGTTCAGTAACCATGAGCTTAACCTATCCTACCTTGCCGACCTCCTCTTTATGTATTGATATGCATTTTTTCAGGCATACCCAGCTATGTCAGACCAGATTTGAAGTTCATAAGTCATCAGGTACAAATTCAGAAGATTAACAGACCTGCCAGAGTTAGATTTTTTGATATAAATCATTTGAAGGTATAGAGTTTTCAGCTATTACATGTCATTACTCAAATTCAATATTCTGACATTCCTCTGTGTGTGTCATGCAAAATCTGGTTTAAAATATTAATGAAAATTGAATATGACATGCAAGTAACTTTACTGGTAAAAATCTTTTAGCCCTATGACATAGCTTGCGGCTATGGATTTACTGTAATGGCAGTCAAGTCCGAGAAGAAGAGATTTATTGTAGCTACAGGTTTAAACACAGACTCTCAGATTGGGTTTCATGAAGGTTCACCTAAAGGTTCTGGTGAGTTGTCACAAGTTGTTTAATTGTTTCAAGTAAATTTGTCATATTCTGGGAACTTCTTCTTCTTCGTTCTTAATTTTTAGTGTTGGAAGGGATCGAGCCTTTATCTGCCAGAGGGTTTGAACTCAAGACTTTTTTTTTTCGAATGTATCAACCATGAGCTTTTGTCAACTCGACCACGCCTCCATCACAATTAAGGATACGTGTCAACTGGTTATGCGCCATTGAGGCCATTGACTCCAATTTCAGCCCGCTTTTCTTTTTGGATTTGCTTCCATAGCCTTTGTCCAACCAAGAACAAACTACAAGGCAGCAGTTGTTTGATTTTGGAGTTGTCTCTCCTAGAAGAGTGGCTGTCCCCAGCTAACGAGCCTCATCTGCCCAAGGATTCGAACTCGAGAGTTTTCGGTTTAGCAACCATGAGCTTTACATACTCGACCACGCCGACCCCTATTCTGGGAACATTATCTGGGATTTAGAAAGACATGTGTACTTTTAAAAACTGTTAAAATTTAGCAAGAAATATTTTTTGTATCAGGTGACTGTTTTTAGTAATTTAATAATTATGCTTTTGAAGAAAAAAAAGAATAATAACAGTAATTTTTACAAATTTTCAGCTTTCATTTTCTAAAATTAGGGTAATTTTTGTTTACCATTAATAAAGAAATATCTTTGCAAAATAACAATACCTTGACACCAACATTTAAAGAGATGGCATTTGCTGTGAATCATGTTTGCATATACTATTTACTGGTGAATGGTAGCATGTATTCAAGTGCAATGGGATGAAACCCTGACTAGAATCAGGAACAGCAAATCACCTGATAAAAAGCTGACTAGATAACCCATTCTTACAACAATACTAAAGAAAAACTATAAATTTTATTTCTCTTTACCTGTTGACCTGTTGTCTGAAAGGGTTCTTTACTTTCATGTCGTAGAGCAACTGGAAGTAGTTGATCATTTTCACCTCCATTTTTGTTTCAGGTAGAATCCTGGATATGTTGATAGAGCCTGCTAGGATTAGACTGCCATTGATGAAACCAGATGAGTGTAAAGTTGTAACCATGGCATGTGGACGTTCTCATTCAGTCTTTGTTATAGAGGATGAAGGAGGTTTGTGAAGGTTCATTTGTAGAAAAAAATTAAGCCCATCTGCTCAATTTTGTGTGTGTTAGTTCAAGGTGTATAATTAATAATTGTGTAGCATCCTTAAGTTTGGAATAAAATATGACCACCGTTTTTACCTATTAAATACTTGTTGGCAGTTTTCACCTTAGGGAATAATGCATATGGTCAGTGTGGAAGGTCCATTGTGGAGGGGGAAACTTACAAGTAAGTTTTAATTTTTGTATATTTTAGTAACATAGAATATAATTCTACATTTGGTCGTATAAATATAGTTTTAAAAAATAATGTATTACTTCATATATATTCATAATTTAAAGTTATTTTAAAAATTTAAACCTCTTTCAAATTAAGTTACAGTAATGTGCATTTTATTTAAAAAATAAAATGCATTGTTTTTGTATTTGCTTCATTCAGAACTTAACATTTTTTCAGTAAAAATCAAGCGATTAACAAATTGACAGATACACCACCAGATATTGTCAAGGTGCTTCCCTTTGTTAACTTTATTGTTACATCCAAGAAAATACATATTTATAAAACTAAATCTCTATCCATTTTTTCTATAGATTACAATAGCACTTATTTTATTAAAAGAGAATTTTATACAATAAGAATAGTTTTGGTTCACTTACAGTATTTTCACTTGTCAGGTTGTATGTGGGCAAGACCACACACTGGTCCTCACTGAGTCTGGACATGTCTACAGTTGTGGGCTCGGGGCAGATGGACAGACAGGTAAACAAATTAGAAGTTTAGACTGCTGCAATTAATATTAATCCGCTCATTATTTCAAAGGACTAATTACTATAAAGTAAGTTTTTTAATTAGTTATATATCAGGTCAAATTTTAATAGTAAGCAAATTCTAAAATTTTGTTGTCTACCCTCTAGGTTTGGGGCATTTTAAAAATGTTGGAAAGCTAGAAAGAGTGAAAGGTGATATAGAAGGTGAGAAAATTGTCTCCATTGGCTCAAGAGGCGACTGCACTTTGGCTGTTTCAGGTTTGTACTTATAAAGCTAAAAAAATGTGTTATTTCATATTCTTTTAGTAAATAAAGTAAATACAATTTTGCTTCAGATGTTAAACTGAAATGTTTATAAAATTCAGTTTACCACATACTCAGTGTAAGTAAAGTAAAGTTCCCTTTCAAACCTGACGGTTTATGGGGCAAGTGAAGTAGAGTTCGCTTGTTTCTGTGACCTCGGCATATGAAGAGATAGTGTGGTCAGCACTATGCCCAGCCGCCTTCACTTTCCCTAACGTGAGTTAGGTACCCATCAGAGCTGGGTTGACTCAGGGACGGTCTACTGACTTGAACCCGGATTCGAACTCGAGACCTACGGGTTAGCAGTCCAGCTCTCTACCACCAGGCCACTCCGTCCCACATACTCAGTGTGCTGAAGTAAAATAGTATTAAAATATTTATTGCTGAATAATTTATTGTTCTGTTTAAATTTGAGTTTTCTAAGTCAGTATTGTTCAGGAGTTGTTTTGAAAATGTTTAAATTAAATACATTTTTAAAACCCATCTAACTTTCTGTTTAGTTTTCTTTGAATGTCTCAATGTTTCCAACAGATAAAGGGGAGCTGTTTGGTTGGGGAAACTCTGAGTACAACCAGCTTGGTCTGGTCACCACTGAGACCCAGCTCAGTGTACCAAAGCATATACCAGTGTTGCATTGTGGGAAAGTGCTGAAGGCTGTGGCAGGAGGGTCACAATGTGCTCTAATCAATGGTGAGATACAAATCCTCATTGGTTATTACGTTAATTGGTCAGTGTCATAGGGTAGATAGATAGAATTAGACTAGACTAGTAGAGGTTACTGAGGACAGTATAAACTTGTTTTGTTATTAAATTAGTGCAGGGTTGGCAGTATAAATTAAGAAGTTTGAAGAAACAGTTTCACTCAATAAGAAACAGTATTAGGCTGCAAATAAATGGAAGAATGTGTTTTAGACTTCAGATTCCTAATTGATTTTTTAAATTGTGTTAAACTGCAAATACTTGTAGATTTGTATGTAAAATATGCTTGAGAAGTTATGTTTTTGCATGAAGAAAGTTTCTGGCCATAACATTTTTATATTTAAATCCTGACCAATGCTTTTCAGACAAAGGTCAAGTTTTTGTTTGGGGTTATGGAATTCTGGGTAAAGGGCCCAATTTAGAAAATACAGCTACTCCCTCCAAAATTCCTGAACCAATTTTTGGCCGGAATGAATTGTCACCAGACATCAAGGTTGTAGACATTGAATGCGGTCTGACCTACGTAGCTGCCAGAACTGGTAAATAAAATTCTTTTGTTTTAAAGTTTAGACTGCCTTTACAGAACCAATATGTAACCAATTACAAGGATCATAAATATTTAAAAATTAATCCATGGATCATTACCTCTAAGCTTAATTAGTCTTCTTTTTAAGTAACTTAACTAAGATATAAAAAAATAGAGCATACTAATTAAAAAGAACTACATGATCATAAGAAAATTTGGTGATGTATATTTCAAAAACTGTATAAGAAGCTAAAAACTTCTTTATAATCAATGAACTCAAAATGTTTTAATTGAATTATTTCTACAGTAAAAACTTCTTTGTAATCAATGAACTCAAAATGTTTTAATTGAATTATTTCTACAGTAAAAACTTCTTTGTAATCAATGAACTCAAAATGTTTTAATTGAATTATTCCTACAGTAAAAACTTCTTTGTAATCAATGAACTCAAAATGTTTTAATTGAATTATTTCTACAGTAAAAACTTCTTTGTAATCAATGAACTCAAAATGTTTTAATTGAATTATTTGTACAGTAAAAACTTCTTTGTAATCAATGAACTCAAAATGTTTTAATTGAATTATTTCTACAGTAAAAACTTCTTTGTAATCAATGAACTCAAAATGTTTTAATTGAATTATTCCTACAGTAAAAACTTCTTTGTAATCAATGAACTCAAAATGTTTTAATTGAATTATTTCTACAGTAAAAACTTCTTTGAAATCAATGAACTCAAAATGTTTTAATTGAATTATTTCTACAGTAAAAACTTCTTTGTAATCAATGAACTCAAAATGTTTTAATTGAATTATTTGTACAGTAAAAACTTCTTTGTAATAAATGAACTCAAAATGTTTTAATTGAATTATTTCTACAGTAAAAACTTCTTTGTAATCAATGAACTCAAAATGTTTTAATTGAATTATTCCTACAGTAAAAACTTCTTTGTAATCAATGAACTCAAAATGTTTTAATTGAATTATTTCTACAGTAAAAACTTCTTTGTAATCAATGAACTCAAAATGTTTTAATTGAATTATTCCTACAGTAAAAACTTCTTTGTAATCAATGAACTCAAAATGTTTTAATTGAATTATTCCTACAGTAAAAACTTCTTTGTAATCAATGAACTCAAAATGTTTTAATTGAATTATTTGTACAGTAAAAACTTCTTTTTAATCAATGAACTCAAAATGTTTTAATTGAATTATTCCTACAGTAAAAACTTCTTTGTAATCAATGAACTCAAAATGTTTTAATTGAATTATTTCTACAGTAAAAACTTCTTTGTAATCAATGAACTCAAAATGTTTTAATTGAATTATTTCTACAGTAAAAACTTCTTTGTAATCAATGAACTCAAAATGTTTTAATTGAATTATTTGTACAGTAAAAACTTCTTTGTAATCAATGAACTCAAAATGTTTTAATTGAATTATTTCTACAGTAAAAACTTCTTTGTAATCAATGAACTCAAAATGTTTTAATTGAATTATTTCTACAGTAAAAACTTCTTTGTAATCAATGAACTCAAAATGTTTTAATTGAATTATTTCTACAGTAAAAACTTCTTTGTAATCAATGAACTCAAAATGTTTTAATTGAATTATTCCTACAGTAAAAACTTCTTTGTAATCAATGAACTCAAAATGTTTTAATTGAATTATTTGTACAGTAAAAACTTCTTTGTAATCAAATTAGTAATAAAACAGATAGTATTAGTTACCTCACAAGTTAAAGACAGTTACAAGTACTATGGACGTTTCGACCCAAGGTCTTCGTCAGCACACAACAGTGTGATTACAGATTAGACAAAAAAAGACAAACAGTAACACATTTTTTGACTTAGCTCGACAGTGAAAACACGTCTTGTCTGCTAGCCACGATATCCAAAAGAAAAGACGCGTGAGAAGGACGCTTGGACACCGTATAGGGGTGGGGTTGGGGGCGTGGTGTATGCGGGAGGGGGGGGGTTGTTAGGTGAAAGATATCTGTTCATTCAAGCCATCGGGTGCCCGTGTACCAAATTTAAGTATTAGTCGCGTTTCAGTGCTAAGGCGATTTTTAAAATTGTGGCAAAACCGAACGGCGGTTACACAAAAGTCCTTTTTTAAGTCATGCCCACTCTTGTTGAAGTGTTTGGCCACAGGAAGACCGTCTTCATTGTTGATTGATCGCAGGTGTTGGCTAACCCTGTCAGACAATCTTTTCCCCGTTTGTCCGATATAAAAGATGTTGCAACGCCTGCACTGGATGACGTAAACTACGTTGCGGGACTCACCTACTGAAACTATATCATCCTTTCTGGACAGTGTGTTTAAACCCAGAGTTGAGGCACTACCATCGTACCTCAAAGATACCAACCATGCGATTTTAACTTTAGAATCTTTAAAATTCACTAGCAATAAACCGAGATTAATTTTCTTATTAGACGTGGTGTCGTTATACACCTCGATACCCCACAAAGACGGTCTACTAGCTATTAAACACTTCTTTAATGTGAACCCCCATCCCTCTATTGACAGTAATACCATACTTAGATTAACCGAGTTAGTTCTCAACCTCAACTCGTTCGAGTTCGATGGTCAGTTCTTTGACCAAATAAGTGGGGTAGCTATGGGAACTAAAATGGGTCCTAGTTATGCGTGTCTCTTCATGGGTTACCTGGAGGGTCAAATCCAGGAAAAATACACTGGCAGAATTCCATGTTTTTATCGGCGGTACATTGATGATGGGTTAGGTATCACAGAGATGGCAGAAGAAGAACTGCAAGATTTCATATCATTCTGCAACAACTACCACCCAAACATTAAATTTACCTCTGAAATTTCAGAGAGTTCTGTTAACTTCCTGGATATGACAATATCGCTTAACACAACCAACGTTGGGACGACTGTATATTACAAACCAACCGATTCACATTCATATCTGCTTTACTCTTCGTCACACCCCCCGGCCTGCAAAAATTCTATACCATTCTCACAATTATTAAGACTGCGACGTATTTGTCAAGATGATGACGACTTTTGGATCAAGGCCCATGAGCTACTACAGTTCTTCCGACTCCGGTCATACCCGGAGCATATACTCCAGTCAGCACTACACCGCATAACAACTGTTGACCACCAAGCCTCCCTTCAACAATTTCCAAAACAAAAGTCAGATAGAACTAAACTCATCTTACCCTACCATCCTCATTCAGTTTTGGCTAAAAATATCATTATAAAAAATTATTCTATCCTCAAGTCAGACCCCCATTTAGGCCATTTATTTCAACAGAATCCTTTGGTTGTGTATAGAAGGGAACGCAACCTTAGAGACCTTTTAGTTCGCAGCCGCCTGCCACCCACTACCAACACCGGTTTTGGCACCACTCCTTGTCCCCGTAAATGCAATACCTGTCATTTCACCCTTCAGGTTGAATCACTGCAGCTGCCGAAGGGAACCCTCAAAATTAAAAATCACTTCAACTGTGAGTCCCGCAACGTAGTTTACGTCATCCAGTGCAGGCGTTGCAACATCTTTTATATCGGACAAACGGGGAAAAGATTGTCTGACAGGGTTAGCCAACACCTGCGATCAATCAACAATGAAGACGGTCTTCCTGTGGCCAAACACTTCAACAAGAGTGGGCATGACTTAAAAAAGGACTTTTGTGTAACCGCCGTTCGGTTTTGCCACAATTTTAAAAATCGCCTTAGCACTGAAACGCGACTAATACTTAAATTTGGTACACGGGCACCCGATGGCTTGAATGAACAGATATCTTTCACCTAACAACCCCCCCCCTCCCGCATACACCACGCCCCCAACCCCACCCCTATACGGTGTCCAAGCGTCCTTCTCACGCGTCTTTTCTTTTGGATATCGTGGCTAGCAGACAAGACGTGTTTTCACTGTCGAGCTAAGTCAAAAAATGTGTTACTGTTTGTCTTTTTTTGTCTAATCTGTAATCACACTGTTGTGTGCTGACGAAGACCTTGGGTCGAAACGTCCATAGTACTTGTAACTGTCTTTAACTTGTGAGGTAACTAATACTATCTGTTTTATTACTAATTACATTAACCTCACTGCAGCTACCATTTGTTTTTTTATCTTTGTAATCAATGAACTCAAAATGTTTTAATTGAATTATTCCTACAGTAAAAACTTCTTTGTAATCAATGAACTCAAAATGTTTTAATTGAATTATTCCTACAGTAAAAACTTCTTTGTAATCAATGAACTCAAAATGTTTTAATTGAATTATTTCTACAGTAAAAACTTCTTTGTAATCAATGAACTCAAAATGTTTTAATTGAATTATTTGTACAGTAAAAACTTCTTTGTAATCAATGAACTCAAAATGTTTTAATTGAATGATTTCTACAGATAAAGGAGATGTCTACACATGGGGCAGAAACAACCATGGTGTTTTAGGGCTAGGTGAAGACAAAAATCAATTTTTCCCCTGGAGAGTAAGTTGTATTTGTTGTCACCATTACTTTCACTAGAGTTGTCATTTATTTACATACTACTTTTTGATTGTCTAGGGGCAATGCAAATGTTGTAATAATACCAATTACTTTCAGTGTGTTAATCTTCTTTGTTGACATGATTTTCTTATTTAAGATAAATCCAGAAGAAACAAATAAAATCTATGTAAAATAAAGTTCTAAAAGAACTAAATCTAAAAGAAATATCTTTAATTTTGCTTTAGGGGTGGTCATTCTGCTAGGTGATTTGGAATTTATACATTAGATAATTTTTGCCTAAATATAAATATAATTACTCAACTTGGAGGGATCGGCGTGGTCGAGTCGGTATAGCTCATGGTTGCTAAACCGAAAAGTTTCGAGTTCGAACCCTCGGGCAGATGAGGCTCGTTAGCTGGGGACAGCCACTCTTCTAGGAGAGACAACTCCAAAATTAAACAACTGCTGCCTTGTAGTTTGTTCTTGGTTGGACAAAGGCTATGGAAGCAAATCCAAAAAGAAAAGCAGGCTGAAATCGGAGTCAATGGCCTCAATGGCGCATAACCAGTTGACACGTAACGCTTAATTGTGTTGGAGGCGTGGTCGAGTCGGCAAAAAGCTCATGATAAATTCGAACAAAAGTCTCGAGTTCAAACCCACTGGCAGATAAATCTCGATCCCCTTCAACACTAATAATTAAGAAGGAAGAAGAAGAAAAGAAGAAGAAAAGAAGAAGAAAAGAAGAAAAGAAGAAGAAAAGAAGAAGAAAAGAAGAAGAAAAGAAGAAGAAAAGAAGAAGAAAAGAAGAAGAAGAAAAGAAGACTCAACTTGGTAGTGGTTCACACTTAAAGACAATGTTTATAAATTACCAAATTGTTTGTAAAGCATGTTGGCCACAATTTTAATAGATTTGTGCTGTTTAATTGTCAGTGTAAAAGATGACCAGAGTTTTAAGTGTTGTGTTCTCTGTTGCAGGTAGCTTTACCAGCTGAGGCAACCAGAATGGCTTGTGGATTAGACCATATGGCGACTATATGTAAGGCATTCACTTGATCCTCCAGTAAAACACTACATAAAGAAACAATTCTTGTGATGTTCATAAGAAATGTAAAATGTCAAGTTGAATGTGTGAATTTGTGTACACAATAAATGTAATAGTCATACTTGCTCATGGGCAGACATTGTTATGCTGTTATTAAATGACAATAAAAAAAAAGTACAAAACTGGTGAAAAGTTCTAATATTTATTTTGTTAAAGTCTCAGTCCCTTGACAACACTCACAATCCTACAGCTGAATCTCCAAGATTCCAAGCTCAATAAATATAGAACCAAATAAAGCATTAAAGTCAACATGTCTTTTTCTCATTAAGTATTACTATGGAACATGATACTGAAGCTGAGATAGACAAACATTTTCTTTTAGTTTGTTAAACCATCACAGGAAGTCTGGCTTTTACATGTAACGCATGTTAAAAAATGACCTGAATTCTGCAGTCAGTGTAGGCACAAAACACACACAAAATGCAAATATGGGGATGAAGCCATTTCAAATCTTAATGGGCAAAATTTAAAACCAATGAACTCTGGTATGAATATGATAACATTCATGTTATGACAAAGTTTATAAAAACTGAAAGCAGAGATGATTGACACAGTCCAAAGGGTAACAATTTTTACTTGGGCTGTTGACAGTTTACTTGCAATGTTTCAATGAATCAACATACAGTTAAGCAATGTGATATGGGGATGTAAAATGGATTTTTTAGATTGATTTGAACAAATTTCTGCTATGATTGTTTTGTGCATTATCTATTGTAATCTTTGTATTATTAACTTTTTACAATAGAATTTTAATAAAAAAAAATTATTCTCTATTAGTACATCTATTAAACTTGACTGAAGCTGTTTAGTATTTCTAACAGGTATTACATAAGATAAAATGGTTTCAGAGGTGAATATATGTACAAAAACTATTTTAAATGATCTTGACACAAAGTATGTTTAAATTAAAATGATTCACACTAATATACAAATAGAAATTAGCAAACGAAGATATGTGACCTGCATGATGACATTCAATGTGAAAGTCTTCAATTGAACAAATAGTATATTTACTGTTAACTTTAAAGAATTCAAGTTCTTACTAAATCTGATAAAATGTACACACTACCGCAACTACCCATTAAAAACCAGATTCCTAGAAAAATAAACTATACCATACTGCTTTCAAACTTTATAATAAATAATATTTGCCCAAATCAATGTGTGATATTTCTTCCATAATTTCCAGTTGTCCCTAAACTTGAAATTAAGTAACATTTAGGATATAAAACAATAATAAGACCTATTCATTGTCAATCCAGTTTTAATTTTTTTCATAATCTCAACTGGGCACACATTAAATACACCTGGCAAACAATATTTACAATAAAATTAAGCATTCAAATAATACACCATGATTCTTTAAAGAAACTTGATTAGTTATGGAAATAAGTATTTTGACAATATTGTCAAATTTTACTATTTAATTGCATTGCAGTTTACCTCCATCAAGTATTTAATATAAAAATATTTTTAATTAACTAATACATTTTTAAATAAATGTTTTATGTATCACCTCTATAGACTATCCTATGAAGGTTTTTTTTAACCATGATTAAAAGAACCTAAATAAATGTGCCAAGCTTTTTGCTTATTTTTAGTAGAAAGAAATAATTCTGCCAGATTTTATCACATCTGTAAACCATATTACCTGGGAACAAAATGAATCTAAGAGGGACATGGCACTGAAAGCAAACACCCATAACAGGACTCAATACATACAAGCAAAAACAACAAGTGATGGAACAGATACATCAGTTGATGTCATAATTATGGACACACTAACATTTTACAAAAATAGTTCTTATCTGTTTTGCAATATTACTTAGTACATAGTGAAAAGAAAAAGAGAGCTAAATCAGTTTGAAATCAATTCATAAATAAGTTGTGCCCCCTTGCAAATATATGTATTTACAATGACACTGATGTATCACAACAAACTTAACGGTGGCCAGAAAAATGCGCAAGGGAAAAAAAAAATCGCACAAAAAAGTGCGCAAGGGCATTTTTGTTTTCTTAAATCGAGCATTTGTAGACATTAGAAAAGAATGGCCCACAAGTACATTATAGCATAATAAAACACTTCGCCACGAAATATAACGAAATTAAAGTGTATTAGTATAATTAGTTGGCATTGGTGCATTTTATTTTGTTTGCGCAATTTTCCATCGCGAAATTTTCCATTAACGCGTTTTCCTGGGAACCCAAACTAACATCACCAAATCTGTTGTTCCTATTAAAATATATTAAAGTTCTAGATTAAATTTTAGCTTTTACTTTAATACAGATTTTGTTTTCAATGAAAGAATTTTTAGCAGAAAAGAAAATTGTTAAAATAAGGTGTACATAATTCTGCAAATAACCGTTACAAGCTACAGATCTATATATAATTTATGGGATTCAAAATAAAATTACAAAGGAAGAATAACATGAAAAAAAGAAATAAAATTCACCACATTCTGGTATAGGTACTACTGATACATTAAAAAAGGAATGACTAATTCTTAAGCAACTTACATACACTTGGTACTCTGAAAAGTTAGCCCTATTAATTAAACCATCTGATGAACAGATGTCAAAAGGGGAAACAGTATTTTGATTTTTCTCTTTAGTACCTTTACACCAAAACCACAACTGAAAAATAAGTTAAATGCAACAAAACCTGTTGAACGGGGGAAAAAATTGCTTTGAGGGGACTACCATCTCTAATAATAAGGAATGCTAAGGTTTTATAAAGGTCACAAATCAAAGTCTAAAAATGAAAAAAAAAAAGGAACAATGACATGGAAGACTAAAAATGTCATCGCTGTTAGACTAATCAATATCAATACTTAATGTAACAAATTTCTCCCAATGTTGTCATTAACAATACTTTCACTTAACAAAATTTGCTACAAAAATACATATTTTTTGTTGACATAGTGTATTTTTTCAACAGGTTATTTAAAAGTTTTGTTGCCGTTTCTTTTTGGCATCAATGGCCTCTAGTATAGGCTGTCTCTTGGCTTGATATCTTGCTCTCAGCTCCTCTATCTCACGCTCCATCTCAGGATCTAAATCTGCTAATCGTCTTTCTAGCTCATCAAATGCTAGCGTTCGTAACTGAGGAAAAGAAAAGTACCCTCTCAAACCTGATCTTCCATGAGAGAGATAGGAAAGTGGTCTGGACTGAGACTGTCTAATAGCTCAAAGCCCAGCCATCTTCACTTTCTACTTAAGTCAGGTACCCAGCTCATCTAGGTCCCATACGAATGTGTATGGAAATTTAAGTTTAATACATTTTATAATTAGAAATATTTTTGATAATGTTTAAATATAAACGTAATACACATGAGGAAATTTTAATAAAACAATCTCTAAACTCTTTACTCCATAGAACACTTCCCTGAATTAATGAATAATTCTTATAAAGTAAAAGAATACAAATAAGGTATGTTTTCCCAACTCACAAACTCGAAGTCCCCATCTATAAAGGAGCGCTGGAAATGATGAGGCGGAGTGATCTGTTTGGGTGGAGCAGGCTGGGGCTGTGGTTGCTGCTGAGGTCGAGCCGGCTGTTGCACCTGCTGGTTCTGCTGGGAGGTGGTGTTGTTGTTGGCAGGAGCTGCAACAGACTTGCTCTTCTCCTGGTCTTGTTTGTCAAAGTGGTCTAAGTAAGATGGCCGGTAGGCATCCTTGCCACCTGTGGCTGTGTTGTGTCCTGGAGAGATACAAATCAGAGCGAATGGTAATCATACGTAAACAATCATAATGCAACTACTTCGTAGGTTAACTAAGAACAATTATTTGAAAATAAAACAAGGATCAAGAAGGGGATAAAAACAGTGAGTGTATAAACTGTGGACAAACTATTAACACTTTAGCTAAGATGGACATAACTTAAGATGATAATTAAAGAGCTGTTTGAAAGCCATAAAACATGCATGCCATGCTTATTTTAAAATCTCTTTAATCATACAAGTTAATTATTCTCAAAACATTTTAATTAATTTTTCAAAGAAGAATCTGCTTTCTAAAAAAAAAACTCACTTTTCATTGTACCATCTGAATCATCAGAATCATCATTAATGACCATTGTTCCTGTTTCTGACAGTGTTGAGTTCTCACTGCTGATTACAACTGTGCCACTTGGAGTCAGTGTACCTGTAATTAATTTTAATGACTGCTGAGCATACCAAGGCTACTTCCTAAAAGGATTACTTTTGGTGTTCTTTTTTAAAGCCTTTCTTTATATTTTTTCTCAGATTAAATTTTATTAAATTAGTACTATACTCAAAACACTAATTAATTTTAATGACTGCTGAGTATACCTAGGCCACTTCCTAAAAGGATTACTTTTGGTGTTCTTTTTTAAGCCTTTCTTTATATTTTTTCTCAGATTAAATTTCATTATATTAGTATTATACTCAAAACACTAATTTTTAAAGACAAATTAACAAAATTTGAATTTCAAATTAACTTATTTTACTGACCTTCTGGTTGTGCCTTCATTGTTCCATCCTGGTCTGTTTTTTTAACCATTGTACCATCTGTATCATCTTCATCCCCCTGAAGTCAAGGATAAATAGAACAATTGAAACAAGATGTTAACTTGTTCTTAAAATACTTATCAAAAAATTATAAAACAGTTTAGTTATTTGTTATTTTCATAAATTGACATCCCTGTCATATGGTCTTTCAGTATAAGTCACCAGCCAAGGAGCAAGAGTTCCTAAATGAACTTCGGGCCAGACATGGAGAAGAATGGTAGCAGCCATGTGACATTTAGCCCTCGTCACACCATACAAATCCGTGGTGCCCCAACAACTCCCAAGGGTTAAGGGATTAATTTATTATTTATTTGTTTCATAAACTAGTTCAAAAACATTTTTAAAAGAATGCAGCTTGAGTAAATTAGTCTTAACATTTTTATGAACTCTGTAGCAGAGTGATGGATTATCCAACTTACTGAATCATCCCCATTGACAACAATATTGGCCTGTGCTTCCTGAATTTCTTTGGCTTCCTGTATCATGTTGTATAGGACATTGCATGTGTCACGATTCTTGATAAAATCATGCTAAAACGAAAACATTCAAAACATTCTTATGAGTATTTACTTGTGAGTAGTCAAGAAAGCATTTTGTTCAACAGACTCTATATATTTTAATAAAGAAAGAAGTTTAATTTTTTCTTTAACTTTTTTCAATAAAGAGAGAAATGTAATCACTGTTTAATCAAAAACAACATTTTTGTCAAAATACAGTATTTTGATCTAAGATGGCTTAAGGCAGGATGCAGAACAAGTAGAATATTTTTTGTTTACAATGAAATATGAATAGTTTTTCCAATTTAAAAACCCTTACATTTTATTTGTAAAAAAATCTACAGGTTGATCAATGAAAAGAACAGTAAACCTATGACTATGACAAGCTTACCTCTAACAATTCAGCAGCTGATGTTCTAAGTTCTGGATTTTTAACTAAACACTTGGACACAAAGTCAATGAATTCAGGTGACCACTTGTCAGGTTTACGGAAAGACGGGGGAGGTTTGGTTGGTATCATGAATATTGCCTAAACAATGGAAAAACATAATATAGATATATTTTTTGTATGTTTTTAATTATGTAGGGCACATTTAAAACAGTTACTTATATTATTTATATGTAGAAATTTGAATCAGAATAACTCCCTGAAAAGCAAAGTCAATAAAATCACCACAACTGAATACACTAGTTCTATGTAATTTTAGTTCAAATAAATAAAATAATACAATTTTAAAGTGAAATTTATATAAACAAGCAACATACTCTCATTGGGTGAATATCACCATAAGGAGGTTTTCCTTCTGCCATTTCCAGTGCTGTTATACCTATTAGACAAACAGAAATTACAAACAAATTTAAAAGAAATTATCAAAACATTTTATGGTTAACAAATTAAACTTGATTTTTTTCCCCTTTTCCAAAGTGTATCATAGGCAAACCCATATTACTTTTTAACATTAAATACATGTGTGTACTTTTTAAAAATGTCAGCCTTTGTAAACTAACCTAAACTCCAAATATCTGCAACACAGTCATAACCTATTTCTTGTATCACTTCTGGTGCCATCCAGTACGGAGTTCCTATCACAGTGTTACGTTTGGCCATCGTATCCTGATGACAAGAAAATACATGTGAAACATGAAATACGCCAGACTAAATATATCTAATACCTGATAAATAATTAGGCATAATTTTCAAGACATTTTGTATAAATTTAAAAAACAAAACTGACTGTTAACTGGCCAGCCACACCAAAATCTGCCAGCTTGGCATGGCCTTCTGTGTTTAATAAAATGTTTCCAGCCTTAATATCTCTATGTATTTTTCGTCTGGAGTGCAGGTACTCCAATCCTTTGAGTGTGTAGAACAAAATAGTAGAGATTTCTTCCTCTGTTAGCTGAAGAAATTTAAAAAAATAAAAATTAATCATCTTTACAAAAAAGAAACAAAGTAGGATAATGACCAAACTATTTTCCTACGTTATCTTTTCAATTGAACTGTGTTTTTAAATTACTTGAATACTTAGATCAAATTTACTTACAGTTTTGTTTCTGAGTCTCATAATATCAGATACAGACCCAGCACCACAATACTCCATTACTATCTGTAATTCAGCATTAGAAAGAATGGGGGTCATATAAATATTAAAATTGTAGTGTCTGGATACATTATGGGGTTGGCTAAACACAAGTAGATTTGAGTCTAAAAGGATATTATACCACTGGCATATAGCCTACGTTTAACACATTGTACACTGAAGAGAATGTTCTGAAATAGTTAAAATCTTGAAATAAAGCCACTGATAAATTAAGTTTACCCATAGATCTGTGTTCTTGAAGTAGCTTCCATAATACTTGACTATGTATTTGGAATCACATTGTTGCATAATAGAAATCTCCTTGATGATTTCCTGTAGGTCAGTGTCCACTGGGACCTGTTTGATGGCCAGTACCTGGCCAGTTTCCTTGTGGAGAGCCTTGAAAACGCTGCCATATGACCTTAAGTGTGGAGGTGTACAGAAATTCAGTGCAGAATTTTCTCAAGAAATGAAAATTATGAATACAGCTCATGGATCACATTTTCTAATTTGTGTGATTAAACAAGTTTTGCATTGTCAAATTTTCTATTTTATAAAAGTTTATTTCTACTTCAAATTTTATATTTATACTTTTCAGCTTGCTGTACTTTGACTGTATGAAATCTTATCTCATTATATACTAGAATGTTACCTTACTTAGTATTAGAGTAAAAGAAAATACTCAAAAACTAATACAAAATTGGTATAAACAAAGAAAATATTTAACTAAAATCAACTAAAATTATTTTCAATGTTTTATAACTGATTATTATTAATTTGTATGATTTGAGAAATATAATTTGCATTCTAATTTTTAACTGAATCAAATTATAATCCAGACAATAAACAAACTGTAATCTTTGGTATGACGTACCTTCCTAAAATAAGCATAAAGTCTGTAAGGATATTTATTTTTACAATATATGGATAGATTTCTGTTATAGTAGTATCTATAACACAAGCTTTAAGAGTAGGTTGCTAGGATATAATTTACTGCTTAGAAAACTGTTTCACATCCTTTTCAACCAGGATACTAAATAGCATGACAATGGTACAAAAATATGTTTATCTTAGGGTAAAAAATGATAGTGTAAAATCAAAACAAGTTTGTCTAAAACAGTAAAATGTAACATCAAGCATGCAGTTAGTAGAGAAGAAACTGGGAGAAGAATGACATGAAGAGTGCAGGTTGCATGCTTATAATAAAAGTAACATTGGCGACAGCTACCTTTTAGTGCAATAAAATTGAAAGATAAAGACTACAAGTTATAAATAAAAATGCCTGTATCCCAAAATGCTTTCAGTAGTACAAATAATCCTCCAGCTGCTCAATGAATTACAATTAATTTTAATTCAAAGATCAATTTACTGCAGATTCCTTAATTCTGTAATTTTTACACAATCAACTTCGTAATAAAAACTGGTGCGATGTTTCTTGGTTAAATTTTGTTCTTAAGGTTTTAAACTATATCCATTACTCAATTTAAATTGCTTTTGTCTTTAAATTAAAGTTCTCTTTAATTAACAGAACAATATAGTTTATTTTGTTTTTATCTTACCCTTCTCCTAACTTTCCAAGTATGTCAAAGACCTCCTCAGGTGGCCTTGTTAAACTTTCTTCACTCAACTTAGTTAGCCCCATACTAGCAGACGTCAAAATAAAAGGCAAAAAAAGGGCAAAAAAAAAAGTTTAAAACATTGAATGGAAAAACAGCACTTCAAGCAAAGGCAAACAAAAATTCACAAGCAAAGAGCTATAGACAACATATGTGTGTGTATAGTGAATGGGGAAATGGGAGGGGAATTATTGTGTAACGTTTTTATTTTTTATACAGATTTTAAATCATTTTCTGTTCTTCACAAAACATCACCACCTAATTGTGAACTTACTTTATTTATATTAAAAGGATTATTGTCAACTTTGATTTAATGAAGAGGCCACTGTCCTAAAGGAATAATTGATATAAATTTATTATTCTTGTATAGGACTAGGATTAATATGAATCGAAATCAACCTACTAATAGAAAAATATTAATTAATGAAAATATAAATGTTGCATTGTGAGGGTACAATATTAAAAAGAAAATTCATTCACATGTAACAAAAGATTTACCCGAAACATTACTAAAGGCAAGCTAGCAAGCCAAAATGCAAAAGGGGAAAAAATACACAAGAGGATGAAAATGCATATAGCAGAACCATGCACTAACTAAACTGACAAGATTCAAGAAAGAAAAGGGAAACGACTAGTGCTCAACCTATGTCTTACCCCCTGCCAATTTTACAAATTATATCAAACACTTCATCAGGTTGCTTGGCTAGGTTGTCATCACTCAGCCTTTTTAATTCACTATGGATAATTAATGTTAACAGTGACTACATACTTCCAGAGTACTGAACACAGAAGGACTTACATTTCATACACTTCTTTAGCCCTTTATGGGCTGTAGAGAAATACATTTAAAATTAACCACACTGTCAAACCATGCCATTCTCCTCTTCTGCCACACCCCCACCAATAAGATGGGTAGAAATTTTATATCTTCAATGCCCTAAAATATATTCTCTAAACTATATATGCTTCTGTGGTGAATTTTATACAGAGTTCATAACAAACAGAATTTTATACTGAGTTCATAACAAACATACTGTAAACTGTTTGGTGATAAAAATGAGATATTTTCTTCATTAACTGTAAAAACAGTAAGTGTAATTGCAACAAGGCATAAAAATAGCAATGCTATTCAAAATTTTTTTTTTATAGTATTAATCAAAACATCATCCAAGTAATATTGGATAAACTAATAAACACAATCAAAAGTCCTGTAGAATAATAGCTACAACCTTGACCAAGTGATAACAAGTAGTGCTATACATACTACAGGGGCCTAATGCTTTTTTATATTGGTTTTTAATGAACAAAATTATTTTTAGGAAATATGTATCATCTCTACCCTAAACTGTAAGTTTTTAAGGACAAACATAGTTGTATTATTAATTATTTCAGATATGAATTATTATTAAATTAGGCTGTGTGTGAAAAAAATAGGCCTAGATCTAGTTCTTAGTCATTTATTTCATCCAGATTCATGTACATGTGGAATGTGTCTGAACAAAATAGTTTTATATTGTGTTATTACGGTTCATTTCTTTAGATATGCGCTTAGGCCTACTACTCAATTTTTGGGAATGTTCTTGTTAATAATTATTAATTAGTTAGGCTAATAAGTATAAGAATCAGCAAGTTACATTGTCAAAGCTTTCTCCCTGATGAACAGACCCAGAAGGAGAAGTAGCCCTACGCCCCACACAATCATTAAATGAAATGTTTTGACACCTCAATGAGCTGCAGACTTTATTTTAGGGTTGCCCAAGAAATCATTATTCATTTAGGGCCTAATCATTTTTAATATTTATAACTTTAACTTTGGCGTTTTTTTTTTCTTTTTGAAGCTCTCTGCTTCAACTTCTTGGCCTCTTTGCTCGAGAATCGGCAAGGACCCTCTCATATAAACAAGAAAAACCTTTTATATCACACAGTAAATGTAGTAGATCACCTTTGGTTAGACATTCTTGGTGATGTAAAATTCTACAACAAATCATTGCTGACTAAGAGCAAACCATCATTTGTTGGGAACACAAAACATTACGTTTGTGTAGCTAGCAGTCTTTATAGTAACTTTATAACAATGTTTCTTCTTTGGATTATTCCGGAAATCTCGCAGTCTCGTATGTTCTCGTTTGTAATCTGTAGTCTAGGCCTACACTATTTTTTTAATCCACACTAGGCAGGTCTTAAGGACCTAGATCCGAGGCTTGTTCTCGATCTATCTCAATATTAGACTCATATAGATCTACATCTAGGAGGTTTCTTAATAAAAAAAATATACAGATCTATATATTTTATTATTTTGTAAAAATAATAAAAATATTTAAAAGAAAAAAAAACAAGTTCTCTCAGAGTTCTTTCCCCGCATCCATAGCACCCCGGACAATTCTTTTTCAGTTGTCCACCGCCCTTTTTTCTGTGAGTGATAAAATCAGAGTTTCTTCCAGGCATCTCTTGGGGGGAGGGTGGGGGGCGGGCGAAAACTACTACACCCCCAACGAAATAGAATTTATATAGAAAATATATTAACAGTGTCCGCAACCCCCCTCCCCCGGAAATTTTAGTCCGCCCCCCCCCCCGGGAGAAAAATGTCTGAAAGAAATCATGGAAAAAATAAACACATGTGTTATATGCTATGACTTATCGTAACATGTAGGCTTATAGTTCCGCTGTTTTGTGATTTAAAGTGTCAGTCGGTTAAGTATAATAGTTTAAAAGCTGGGTGCCGCTTTTTACAATATATTATCTTCAGACAACGTGGAACCGAAATAAGCTCCCCTGATTAATGTTACCCCCCCCCCCCCCCATCCTCACCACTCTATAGACCCCTCCCCCGACTCAGCATTTTTCAGTATCTTCTTCTCTCACACAATTTAAAATGCATGGTCTGCGGCCTCCACCCTCTCTTTCTCCCCACCCCCTATCGCACTGCGTTTATGCCACGACGTATCATAGGCACCGTGATGTTACTATATCGTTCTGACATTTTTCTGGTTAAAGAATAGATTTTCTAGACCCTGTAAAATAATTTTTTTTTCTTTTTCGATTGGGAGGAAGCGGTAGATGTACTGGGAGGGGGGGGGGGGGGGGGGGGGGGGCTAGTGTCCCCCGCCGAAGAGATGCCTGATAGAAACTCAGCCAGTTAGCAATATTTATTTTAAAAAATAAAAATGTAGGCATATAATATGCTTCATCCCATTTTAAACAATTTACACTTACACATTTAGTCTAGCATACATTGTAACATTAATCATTACTTTACAGACATAGCTTTCTGTAGGGGTCATCCATAAATGACGACAATGACGTCTCGCTTGTTGACGATTTTTTGCCCCCTCTCCACATATCGTCACAATACGAAAAATGCAGACACCCCCTAAAATGATGTCACACCTCACTCCCCCCCCCCCCTCCTCAAAATTGCAGTTGAATTTTTCTTAAAATACGATATTTTTCCAAAATCTTGTCTGAGTTAAGTGTCAACATGGAGTATTTTAATTCCTAATCAATTCCTATTACAATTAATAATTAATTAAAACAGTTTTCTAAAATGCGAAATAACAGTAACAGCTAAAATTCGTTTTCTAACATTGCTTTTTTATAATGCAAAAGTTTGACGTCACACTATCTGACCCCCCCCCCTCCACCTCATCACACACTGCCACAAAATTACTGACTCCCCTCCCCCTTACGAGTGTGACGTCATTTATGGACGACCCCCTATTTTGATTTTTTCGTTTTCTCAAAATCTAAAGGCCTAAAAATATCCCAAAACAACAAATCAAGGTCACATGATCAACAAAATGGCAGAAGTAATACCCAAATATTTACAACTGTCCCAAAGAGTGATTAGAATTTTAGGCTGTAATCCTGGTCCAGCTACATTACAAGGTACAAATACATACTTAGTAGGAACAGGTAAAAGGTAAGTCTACAATGCATACTTGACTTACAGTTAACAACTTAACTTACTACGAATTTCTTTTATAAAAACCATTCATTAAAAGTCAAAAGTACTCAAAAGAATTCCCTCAAATCTACTTTAAAAAAATTTAAGACATGGACAATTTTTGTAAAAATTATTATTCCTTTCCTCTACACTACTCTACAGCTATTCCAAAGAACTATCAATTCAATCATGTACATCTTATTCTTAATCACACTTCTGTTAATTTTGAGTTACTAAAATTTACATTGCTAAAAATAAAATGTTGAAAAATCTTCTTATAAATGAAAAAACCAATTCACCCTAATAATAAATAATATGATGTACATTTTTTTCAGGCGAATTCTTATTGATACAGGAGACCCAAATGTGCCGGAGTATATTAATTTACTCAAGACATCTTTAGCTAAGCATGCAGTGGACATACAGGAAATCATTGTCACTCACTGGCACCATGACCACGTTGGAGGGGTTGATGATATCTGCCGAGCTCTTGGCACAAGTAACGTCACTTTATTAGCAAACATTAATAAATTATTGCATTTGCAGTGTTACATTCATCAGCCATTCTTCATATACTTAGCTGATATTTCCATTCAGGTTGTGACTAGCAGTAGTTCTAAAATTAGCGGATGTGGGGTTGATGTGTCTTAAGCTGCATGTATGTAAGATAACGCTTAGTAACTATTTATAATTTATATATATATATATATATATATATATATATATATATATATATATATATATATATATATATATATATACATACATACATACATACATATATATATATATATATATATATATATATATATATATATATATATATATATATATATATATATATATATATATATATATATATATATATATATATATGTATGTATATATATATTCTGATCCAGAATTTCGAATATCTAAATTGAAAAGAGAATCTTGTCCAGATGTAGCATTGACTGAGACTACTTACAATTTTATTAAAGATAGACATGTATTTTCAACTGAAGGAGCAACACTCAAGTAAGTATTCATAGTTGTGTAGAGTAAATAGCAGATTTTTAGGAGAATATGAAAAATAAATGGTTTTCTGTTATTAGAGAAAAATGTAAAAAAAAATAAAGTTTCCCTCATTGAATTCACTATCTAATCTTTTCATTTTTCCTAAACGTTTTCTTATTTTTTATATGTAAATATGTAAATGTTAAATATGTTCTGAATGTAAACATTTATTCTTCCAGAGCTTACTATGGCCCAGGTCACACTGAAGATCACATTGTCTTACAGTTACAGGAAGATGGTTCTGTCTTCTCAGGGGACACAATACTTGGTGGATCAACTACAGTAAGATTTAATAAGAGTATTAAAATATTTGAATACATTTACTTCCATTTAATTAACTGTTATTTAAATTTTTAAGTTTTTAAAATTAGGAATGACGGAGTGGAAAAATAATATTTATATATGTAGGTATTATCTGTAGTTGGGTGTTAGTGTGGCCAGTGGCCAGCATGGTCTGGCGGTAGACAGTTCTCTTGCTGACACTAAAGTCATGTTCGGATCTAGGACTTGAGACCTTAAGTTTTGCCCGACCGAACCGCACCTCATGCCCAAACCAGTTCACTTGATGCACTGGAGGAGGAAGCAAAAGTCTGACAGAAACCCACGTCTAGTGGCTGGTGACATGGGTGAGAGAAATGCCAGACTCTTAATCCTGTTCCAGTCTGGCTATTAAGTAATAGCTTGAGCTGGTAATGACCATGTATGAGATTGAGATAGTGTGGCCAGCATAATGTCCATTCAGAAATGTCTGAATTAGGTAAACTGCAAGACAGAGGTAAAACAAAGCTTTGTATAAAGAGCTTCATCATGCAGACCACCACTTAAATTGTCCTTCCTCTAAATCCACAGGATAATAGTAATGTAATATTTAAAGATTTATTAAAAATTTTGTTTCGTTGTTGTGTAATGATAAAATCTACATGAACACTATTTGTGTTAGATCATTGAGGATTTACAACAGTACATGAAGACATTGAATGAACTTCTTGAACTCAAGCCAAAGGTTATATACCCAGGTCATGGCCCTGAAATATTGAATCCAGAGGAAATAATCCGGTATTATATCAAGCATAGAAATGATAGAGAACAACAAATTGTCCAGTTTCTAAAAAACAACACTGGGAAAAAGATTACTGCCCTAGACATTGTAAAGGGAGTGTATAAGGTAAGATTAAAAAAATATGTTCTAAAAATATTTATTTAAAAATGAATTAAATGTATCTTATTCCCTAAAAATATCTGAACTACTGAATTCTGTTTGTTGGTCAAGTATTAATGCAAAAAATGGCATCCAGATTCACAAGAGAGGTTTAGATATCAAGCCTTTCCATGTGAGCTAGTACTCTGAGTTTGTCAATTAAGTGTTACTTATGTAACATTTATGAAAACTATTTTCAACATTTAAAAAGATAATGTGATTTGTATTTGTAAAAGTTACTTTTCTTTAGTCTAAAGAAAATATAATTAAATATGAGGAAAGTAAAAAAAACAACATGTGTTGTTATTAGAGCACCCTGTTATTAAATGCATTATCATTTTCAGTTCCTGGGTTATGTTATTGAACATTCTTTAGTCCAACCTGTTAAGATGGCTATGTATCTTGATTTGGGAAAAAGAAGATCATCAAATCTTTTCCTGTTCGTGCCCAAGACACATGGGGCAGATGAAGTAGAGTTCATCTGCCTCAGAGACCTCGGCACATGGATAGTGTGATCAGCACTATGCCCCACCACCTTGTTTCCCTAATGTGAGGTACCCATCAAAGCTGGGTGGACTCAGTGACATTCCACTGACTTGAACCCGGATTTGAACTCGAGACTTTTGGGTAGCAGTCTAGCTCTCTACCTCTAGGCCACACCGTCCCATAAAAGAGAAGATGGCTGGGCTTAACATTGACCACCTACTCTCTTCTTTAGTAGAAATAACCAAAACAGGTGGACTCTACCTTATCTGCCATTTTGAAAGAAATGGGTACTACTGTTTTGATGCTACAAAATTTTGCTCTCTCTTCAGGGTGTGCCTGAAGAAGTCTTTCCCATGGCAGTTCAGAATGTGACATTACATCTCCAGAAACTGCAGAAAGATGAAGTAACAGGCAAGTAGTTGGTAATCACTTACAAATGTTAGCTGTGGTTATGGTTAAGGCACTGGTTAGCAACATAGTTCTAAGTAGCCTTGTGTGGCTCCTTAAATTTAAATAAATGCTGTTCTTTTATTAAGTGTCTGAAGAGTAGAAAAATGAAATATAATTATGCTTATTATATTATTATATTTATTATAATTTAGTTTCAACAATCAGAAGTATCTTTACCAATTTAAAACTTTCCACCAATAAAATCTTCATACTCTAGAAACAAACGTACCTATCAGTTAAAACTAATACATTCAGTGTGAATGTGTTTTGATTTTCTATTACCTTCTTTTGCCTGATTGAATTGTCTTATTTCTATTCAAATTTACAGAATCTGAAAATGGGGAAACATGGGCAATCAAGTCTAAGCAAAGCAATATTTAATACATCTAATATTGTTTCTTAAAATTTTAGCCTCAAGTGTTTTAAAAATCTAACTATGCAGAGTATTATCTTTTTATTTTAAAGAGTTATAATTTTGAAATCAGTAGTTTTGAAATATGTATGGTGACTTGTTTCAAGTAGTAATCCATTTCAACCATGTAAATTTTAGTTAAATTGTTTCTAAGTCACATGATCTATTTTTAAAGCTATTCAGCTGTATTATTGAATTGTTGTAAATGGTTTTAATGTCATACAATATACAACTTGTTGATTATTTTTTTATTGATGAAGGAAATGAACAATACATTATGAAAATTTGTCCTAACAATAATTTTTGTATAAAACTGCAAATCAAATATCCTCTAAACAAAACATTAGTTAATTTTTCAAGATTAGCTTTGACAAATGAAATGTGACCAACGGTGGTGGTTTATTGCCTTGTTCAAAGTGTTTTTGTTTTTTTTTGGATCCCTTACATTAAGGGAAATTTATGCAAATTGAGTCAGCTTTTTTTTAAATAACGAGAATCAAATAATTATTAATAACTTTTTGTACCTAACAGTCAGTTGAAACTACCATTGGGGAACTTCTTTTTAAAAAAAATCTTATTTCTATTTAAACTACACTCACTTCAATTGTTTTAGCTTTACTTTTGCATTTTTCAAGACTATCTCATGATTTTCAAGCTGTTTAGGTTTAGCTGCCTAGGCTATTCCATATACTATTGCAATGGTCAATTAAAAATTCTTTTATTTATTTATATGAAGAGTTATCGCTCAACAAGTCCTTAAACTCACTAGATTATAAGAAATCACTTTTATAATCAGTTTAATTAGACAACTGTGATAAACAGGTTTTTCATTTTAGTTTAACTTGTATATATATATATATATATATATATTATGATATATGTAGCGATGGTGTGGTCGGATAGTAGAGTTTACAACTGCTAACCTTAAAGTCACCAGTTTGGCCACCTGGTTGAGTCTGTAGGACCTCGCTGAGTCTGCTCAGCTCTAATGGGTATCTGACTTACTTTATGGAAAGTAAGGTGTCTCGGCATAGTGTTGACCATACTATCCCTGCATATGCTGAGCTCATTCAAAAATAGATGAACTCTACTTCATGTGAAACATGTGTCTTGGGCAGCAGCAGAAAAAGATTAGTTTTAAAATATTGTATTGCACACCCTGTGTATGCCTATTCTAAATTAAACTTATTCATTATCCAAAACTCCCTCTCCCTTCTTATAAGATTTAGTTCACTACAACTTTTGTTACTCATGTACTGGAGGTAATCATAAAAATCTCACAAAACTTGCTCATAAGATTCCACTTCGTTGTTTATGAACTAGAATTATAGATTTTTTAAACATTGATAAACTTTTTATTTTAAGTATTAATTTCACATACAAAAATATTTATGTAGGGCCTATTATGCATCTGCTGTTATAAAAATATGCTCCACATTGCTGGAATCATATACATTGTTTTTGCTTAATAAATCAGGTTGTTAAAAAGAAACTAAAATCAGCTTTAATGTGTTATGCTGTTGTAACATTAACTCTTATTTGATTGAAAAACAGAAATTGAAAATTTATTTAAACTTATTTTATTGCTATATTAAATTTAAAAACCAAAAGGTACTTTTTAAAAATTTGTTGCCTTTTATAACATCACTGCTGAGTCCACCCAGCTCCGATGGGTACCTAACATCAAGAAAAGTAAAGGAAGCTGGGCATAGTGTTGACCAAACGATCCCTTCGCTGAAACAGGTGAACTCTACTTACACCTGCCCCATAAAGTTTGAAATAGGTAGTTTACAGTAATTAAACAGCACAACAAAAATCAGTTCTATTTTTAACTTTATTCATCATAAAAGAAATTCAATTTTCTTATAATATTGATACAAGCTAATGAGATGATGACATCAACACACAGATTAGTGCTGATGCAGCACAGAATCAATGTTGAGACAGATTTTCATGAATTGAGATGGCTTGGCATAATCACTGGTGACACTCATGGTAACATTTTAAGGGAGACAAATCTATACACATGTTTCATTATGTACAAAATACATGAAAATTATTTTTTTCCCTAAATCTCTATCTTTCTAACTGAAAGACATTATATTTTAAAATAATTATAATCTGCTTAATGAAATTAAGCTGTTTATTTTACTACATTAGTTAAAACAAATATTAAAATAACACACATTCAAGGTAAAGCAAAGTTTGTATTGCATTTATTCTAAGATTTGCAAGTTCCTTAACATTATACTAATAATAAAAAACCATGACTAACATATGGTAAATTCAAAGAGCATTTATATCAATATATGTAACATATTCTAAGGCCGACCCGTAAACAATGTCTAAAACCTACAGTTCTTTACCCTGAATAAGAGAAAGAAAAAATGTTTTAATATAGTGACAACCAAATTATGACCACCAAATAATGACCAAATGCTGACCATCAAATAAAAACCAAATGACTACCACAACCAAAAACCTACACAGCAGAAATAATAGAATTTAGCATAATCCAGTAAATAAAGAACAACACTGGAAATTACACTCCTAACATAGAAGAATGAATCAAGTTTAGCATAATTAAAGAAAAGGGTTGAAACCCTGCCCTTACTGAGGACAAACAAAAAAGTAGGTAATTAACTGATGGTGGAATTATATAATGATGAGGTATAACAAAATGACAAATTCATATTTTTAACAAACCACGAGTCAAATATTTTACAAAAAAATATTTAGGAATGTTTGGTAATTGGTCATATGGGCTTTTTGACTTCAACCTATACTTGAATTATTCTAACAGTTTTTTTCTACAATAAACAAATATAACCAGCTATGAATAAAAGTGTATCATAGTAAAATTAGTATTGATACATACATATAACTGAAATATTGACTCATTGCCCATTCATCACAATTTACAATATGAAACATTTTAAAGCTATGCCATTTGTTTTTAATTTAACGTCATATGTATCACAGCTTATTTTCTTTTACGCCCAGTAAAATTTCTCTCTTTAAAACCTGTCTTACGTTCCCCTCTATAGCTGAAAGTTTTTATTACCTTGAGTCTGGAAACCAAAGTCACATGTTTTGGTTTAGCAGTCCCTTTATTATTCAGGTGTTAAATACAATTAAACATCTGATAACACTACAAAAAGTTAAAGAATTTGTAACAATATTTATAAATATACTCATTCATATTTGTCAGAACATTTTAAATGAAGAATGACTAAATAAAAAAATAATTGACCAATGAATTTGTACAATTATAAAAAACAAACAACCTATGTAGTAATTAAAATAGTTGCCTTTGTAAGGACAAGTAATAAAAATGAATTAAAAAATGAGCTTTACGCCATTGAGAAATGAAAGTAAAAATGCTTCATGGTTTTGGAATGATTAGAAAATTAAATGGGTGTGAGACACAGAATATTTTTACTAGATAATCTGTAAGTTAGACCTGAAGTTATACCTAAGTTGCACCTTCTTTATAGAAAGTAAAGGATATCTTTTTTTAAATGCATGTTTTTGTTTATCAATAAAAGGAAGGTTTATTAGTCTCATTGACAGTAAATATAGACATCTTTTGACATTAAAAACTATTTATAGCGTATACACAAATTTACATGACTGTTGGTATGTTAATTTACTAAATATGCTATGTTTTTTTATACAAGTTACAATATGTAAAGCATTCTTAATTTACAACAAATAAAATTCAATAAGTTCAAGCAGCAGATTAGATATAGACAACACAGGTGTGATTTACTGCCAGCTGCATCAGCGATGTCAGGTAGTTGCAGAAACAACACCAGGTCATGATAAGCTAAATATACAGCTGCCATTGAGCGTAATCATCCTTGGGGGGTTGGGGGGGGGATGGTTAAAGCGTTGGTAAGTTATACATGGTTGTGGTGGTTACCTGGTTAACCAAACAGCAAGGTGGGCTATGTGTAAGCATTTTTTTTTTTTGCAACTAGCAGAACTAACATAAATAATTAAAGAAGAAACTATTCACACTACTGCACTACAAATCAGAAACATTTACTACCAGAAAACAATTATGAAATTAGTTGATAGAATAAGTTTTTAAAAGTTCAAAATAAACAATCTTATTTGCTGTAATTTTAAACAAATGTATTTCACCATTGTTTTCTAGTTTGAAAAATTATAAAATGTAGTATAAACATTAGTCATAAAATAAATTAAAATACAAAATTATTTTTATATTACAGCTTGAAATAGATTTATCACCCTCCACAATGAGATGAGTTGTTCTGCACCTCGAGCTATTTTGAGCTAAGCCAAAAATGATGTTGATATTTGGGTTTTAGATGTTTCAAATTTATTTAACTCATATATGAACATATTCGCAGTTAGTTTCCTTTCTTTTCAGATTTTTTTTAAAAACTAAAAATGATTTTTAATCATCTTTTAAAAATAGAAAACTGAAAAAATAGATATAAAGATACCAGATAATGAAGTAGAAATTTCTCAGAATCACATTTTTGGATAGTTTACAGTAAAATGATAACTTAGGGACCGTTTTTATTATCAAAACCAGCCTTTTAAATCTTTACAGAATGATAAACTAAAAATAAATCATAGATACTAAGTGACAAAACTTGGAGGGGCCACAATTTATGTGGCTAATAAAAGTTCTTCCAATTAAGTAAAAGAAGCTTTTTGGCACCGGTGTTGAATAAAAGATATCACAAGTTTTTTTGTTTGTTTCAAGATCAATGTACTCTTTCTGCAGAAAACATAACAACAAGCAGTAGAGCTAAGGGTCTGAATAATAAAAAAAATTATGTTGACATGAAAGAGTTTTCAGTGCATGTGGACAAATAACTTTTAAGTTAGCTTCTCTAGCACAATATAGATCTAGCACTTGATAACTTTAACCGGGAATAACTGGTTTTGAAATGAGCTAGATTTTTTTTTAAAAACACAATATGTAACATATTTGATATGAAGAAAAATTTAAATTAACAGTTTGTTTTAAAAAAGTTAAAATGACCCAAGCCATTTAAGTAATTTAAAAAAACAACTTTTAAATGAGTATTTACACTAAAATAAACTTTCAATTCTTTTGGGTTTTAAAATATAGATGGTGAATATTTTCTTTTCTTAATTAAAACCAGCATTTAAAAGAATCCAGTCCTTAAAAAGCTATAGAAACAGCTGGAGAAACACTTCCAATAACTTATATATTTAGTGTTAAAGAGCAAAGTTATCTGATGTAATTAAAGCTAGAACAATGTTAACCTTGTAGAACAATAAATGTAACAAGTTTACTGCTAGGACTATGTAACAAATAATATGTAAAAAGCTGCAAAGCTAAGCAGAACAAAAAACAGGCATAATAAAACAACTGAAAAATAAAGTAATGCAATAACTGGTGCAATTTCTGAAGGCTTTTGTCAAATAAACAAAAGAAACAGAATGATATTCAAAGCAACAATTACTGGTTATATTTATCTACATTATTTAAATAAACTAATTCATGTTTAGCACACTCCCTGCTTAAAGATAAATTAATACAAGACATACCGGGACATTTTATAGAGACAATTACTTTAAACTTGGGTTAAAAGCTGACTAAGATATTTTACTGAGTAATACTGATCATGTGTTATAAAATTCATGTCTATAGCAACAAACAAGATGAAAGTTATAACCCCCCCCCCCCCCCTCTTAAAAAACAATACTAATAGGGTTTCTATTTTGTTCAACTTTCTACCGCTAAGCCTAATTTCTGAATAAAAACTTAATTTTTGGCCCACACCACTGTCAAAATTATGAACTGTTTAAAAAAAACCGAGCCCATAAATAAATATACACATATACAGAAACAATGAGCTTCAATGGTCAATAATTATGCTAATAACATAAATGTGGATTAATACATGTTTTCATGGGTGGTTTAATTAGAGGTAGGAGAAATCAACGTAACCTCTACTTTTCATCTAGTTTTAGTCAATTTCCATGTGCCAAAAGTTGACAGAGTGGTTGAAGAGGGTAACAACTGGCATTGACGGAGGCTGTTTACTTGAGCTGTGGGTTGAAGAGGGTGATGATGGTGCCATGTAACTACTGGGTGGCGAAGTGACGCAGAACGTAAACATGGTTGAAGTTGCCGGTAGATATGATGCCGACAACAACGGGGTCACATATTCAGGGGAGGCCATCGCTGAGGGCTCAGGGGACTGGGGGATTGATTTGAATGACGATGAAGATGAATTCCTTGATATGCTTTCGTCAGCAGTCTTAGCAGTGTAATCACCTGGTTCCAGGCAATCAAAGTAGAGCTCGTCAGAGTTGGGGTAAGTCCACTCCCACAGTGGTGAGAATACATCACACTCCTCACAGTAGCACAGCTCACTGGAGTTGCGCTGTAGGCTCGGGTAGAGAGACCTGGATGACTTCTGAGATTGACAGCGACAGTGTATGCAGTGGTCCTGGAAAACAGAGTTCCTAATACTGGTGTGTAGCGCGCCTAGTCTGTCGAAAGGTGTACATTCCGCGGCAGATTTTGAGCCTTGAGTGAAAGGTGATACGTGACGTAGATGAGATTTTTCTTGAGAACTTGTTGGGTCGCAGTAATAGCCACGGGGGGAAATATTAAATCCTGATTCAAACTTGTCCGCATCACTTACAGGTAGTAAGGTTTTCCGAGGTCTGAGCAACACAGAATCAACTGCAGGGTCATTTCCTGAAGAAACTTTTCTTAAATCTGGATCTGAGCTAAAATTCCTATCTTTAAAAAAAGATGAAGAATTTGATTTATTTTTTGTCATATCACAGTTAGCTACCAGATCTTTGTCAGCTGGTAATCCACCCACCATGGCAGCTTGCAAAGTATCTCCCTCTTGTTCAATAAAAAACTTCACTTTTTTCCCTTTGTTGTTAAGGTACGAGGGACCAGTTCCATGCATAGTTAATCCCTTAGCAGCTGCCTTTTCAGTAGATTTTAAAACAGATTTGTTACTAAGTAAATCACCGCTATGTTTACAAGTTGTACTTGCTGGAAAACCAAAACCAAGTGAGGTTTTTTTAGTTTCTTTTTCCGCAGTCTCAAGTTTACTGGTCGAAGAGTTTTGAGTGGCCAGAACAAAACTTTTTTTCAACAGCTCGGCACCAGGTTTGCCGGCCGGTGCCGAGTTAAGTCGTGGTCGGCCCTTCTCCGCCTCAACAAAGGACACCGCTATACATTCGTACTTGGGAGTGTGAACTGTTCTGACTATCTCCTGCCCCCTGGCAACCCCTAGTCATTTCTTCTCAGCCTCGACTGGGGCTTGGCTGGTGGTACACAGCTGGGCAAGCTCCTCTGGGGTTAGTTCAGGGATGGGGAACTTCCAGTAGTTGACAGGGTTGTACTCAACTGATGTTCCTCTGTCTACTTGGTTTAGTGAAGGGAAGAAATGATCAACAATGTCGGACATCCCTGAATACCTGTTGATAGAGAAGTATAGATTTATAGCATGACATAATAAGTTTAAGATTTGTGCAATTATTTAAAATAATAATGGTTTATACATATAGAGTATTTTTAAATGATTTTTAGGACAGCATCATAAATTAAAGTAAAAACAAGTTTAAAGCAAAAAAAAAAAATTCTTATTTTTTTATTACAAAAGTTACTGAAATACAACTGTGTGAAAAGTTGTTATAGAATTTTATATTTCCAAAGAGTAACAAAAAAAAGTCTAAAAATAAATAATTACATCTGGGTAGATCATTCTGTGAATGAATGAACTGAAATACTTACGATGGGTGAATGAATGAACTGAAATACTTACGATGATAAGAAAGTGAGAGAGAGATCATGTCTGAGCTGTCCCTGTGGGTTGATGGTAAATATTCTGAAGTTGGGAATATCCAGCGCCCTGTAGGCTATAACATCCTGAATAAAATAAATACAAACATAAAAAATACATAACATAAAATACATGACAGATTGCAAAATAAAACTAGAACAACTTTTTTAGTTTTGTTAAAAATATTTCATTCTTTTAATGGAAAATCCAGTTATAATAATGAACGCATGAAATAAAGTTGTAGGCTAATGCACTCACATTTAATTTATTACCAAACCCAGCATAAAATGGTGAAGATGGGAAAAGATCAGCAATATCTTTCAGACAGCTTATTTTAAATTCTTCAGGATTTTTAAGAATCACCTCCCTGTAAAAAATAAAATGATTGAATAAATAATTACTTTATAAATCAAAACTACACTGATAACTTGTGTAGTTAAATGAAGAATTTATTTACTTATCATACATTACATGGAAAAGCTCTTAAGTTTGTTTAAGATAGTCTCTCGTACCTATGAAAAGCACTAAACAACGAGGTTGGGTTGAGAAAGAGAGGCCCATCAGGTAGAACCAAATCCCCTTGTTTGATGTTTTTCAGCATGTCTTTTGTGCTGCGGCTCTGGCCAATGGCCCGAGCAGAGAGGTAGATCAGCTTGTAGCCGTTGTTTTGGATGCGGGTGAAAAGTTGGGCCACCCCTGACTGGGACCAGTCCCGACCAATCATGGGCAGGATTTGACCTAATGCATCCGATCTAAAAGAAAATTGAAAAATTATTTGAAATTATGAATCAACTTTAAAACCAGCATAATTCAGAAGAAGTGTGTTGTACTTTATGATCATTGCATTTAAAATAAATAGCTCTCTCTTTGGCAATTTAAAAAAAATAATACAACTACAAGACTTAAGTTAAAGGCCTTGAGTAAAGAAAACAATTTAAAATTTAGCTTCCACTGTAAATTGTCTTACATCAAGTTTCATCACTTTTTAAGTGGTCTAAACTCTAAAATTAATTAATGGAAGCTTTATTCTATCACTAATCAATAAGTTTATTATAAAGATTGGAAGAAAAATTGGTACGAAACATGACGTACTTAGTGATGGTGCCATCAATATCTGAGATGACGATCTTGTCATCATAGCTCCACAGGTAAACATGAGAGACACATCTGGTGGTTCCCTGGTACTGGGTGGTCACAGAAAATGAGATCTCGTTGTGGCCTTCACGCAGCTTCATCTTCAGCTGATCATAAGATTAAATAACATAACAACTTAGCACTCGTCATTTACTTATTTTTTTTTTAAACATAGTGAAAAGCTAATCATTAAAAAAATAACAGTTGCACTAAATTAAAAAAAAAGCTATAAGCTTACTAATCAGTAAATGTATTTTAAAAATGCCAGTATGTGTTAGGTAAGGATTAGGGCTAGGGTAAATAAAAATAGCACAAATGCACAAAAAGTAGAAGCAATGGTACTCCCATAACAAAAAAAGTACTGTAACGCTTAAGCATACAATTTTATTCCACTACAGCAGTCCAGCTTTATAAAACAAATAAAAGTTAGAAGAACAGAGACGAAAAAAAACTTACAATCTGTTCTGAAGAAAGCCTCAGTGTCTTGATGTACTTCTCCTTCTTAGTTTTGGTGCCCCCAGCTTCACTAGCAGAAGAGGGATGTCGCCTGCGTGAGTCAGGGTCAGTGTCCTGTTGAGAGGCCTGGTGTGCCTGTAGGACAGTCATAGCCGTTGGCACATTCAATGTCTGCGGCACATTGAGTGTTTCAGGGTGCGGGGAAGAGGGTTTAGAGGCGTCTTTTTCAGAGGCGTCTGTATCTGTTTCTGTAGATGTATTTTCTTCTTGTTGAAGTCTGGGGACATTCAAATAAAATTGTTAAAAACATGGATAAGATAAAGCTGAACTGTTAAGTAATTGGAATGATGTTTCGTTTATTTTTTGCTACATTTTTTTTGTTTGCTTGGTTCCAATAAAAACAACTGAGTCTGGTATCGAGGTTTTTTCTTTTGGTATCGCCTTAAGGTGAGGAAAAGGAAAAGGTTTAGACTAGGATTGGGGTAGCGATACTACCAAGAACAAGGCTTCGATACAACCTGCAAGCGTTTTTACAAGTACCAGTTACAACTAAGGCATCAAGCCATACATTTTTAACCAAGCAGTTATTGAGTATACCTGACAATATTTTCTGTCCTTTTTCTCGGGGTGCCTGAATTGCTAGCAGGAGGTGTGGGGGTGGGGGATTGAGCAGGTGAGTTAGCTGCATCTTTCTATAATAAAACATAGATAAACCATCAGAACATGATTTGTGTAATTCAAAGATAGTGTGATTTATTAAATTCACTTACCGGATAAAATAAATTAAAGTAAAATAAATACTTACCTATCTAAAAATTAAAAATTTACTGACACTTTATTTCTAATATAAATTTAACTTCTATTAATTATTAAACAAAAAATTAAAAGTAACTTTTATATTGATATTACTGTTTGTAAAATGTGTAGTTATAGGATTAAAATATTAAGTAGTATTAAACTGCCTATATGTATAGTGGTTCAATTTGTGTATATGTTATATAGACAGATGTTTACATACTGGTGTTACACTCTCTGTCCCTGGCGACGTAGCTGTGCTGCTTGCTGTGTCACTCCCTCTCTGCCCCGGCTCAATGTCTGCCTCAACTTCGGCAGACCTACCCCAGGAGAACCAACCTTTCTTCTTTTTCTTCTTTGGCATGTGCTCTTTTTCTAACCCTTTTATTGCTGGCTGGAATTGTAAAAAAAAAAACCCTCATTTTTAACACTAGAGTTATTTTTTTTTAGAGATTTAAAATCATTTATAATGTCCTATTAATTTTAAAATCAAAATATATAATAAAAACAAAGAAAAGCTACATTTTAAAATGTAATTTTAACCTCAGATTAACATTGGAATTATCAGTAAAATTCAGTGCTTTTCTTTGCTTTATATATTTTGATACTTTGAATATCTGTAAAGCAATTATCATACAGGTATAGGTAATAATCATTCTAATAAGGGCCATCCATTTTTATGACATCCACACAGAGGGAGGAGAATCTAAATAAAAATGACTTCTGTGAATGCAAAGTATTAGGTAAGTTAAGAGGGAGGGTTGGGTCTATATGGACATCCACATGTTAAATTTAACATTAAAATACTTACCTAGACAACAAACAGTAAACATTTAATTTACAAACAAAATCTATACAATTAAACCGCTGTGCTCAGGTTAAGTTTGTTAAAAGCAACAGCTTAGCTTACAACATCAGAAGTATGTTTTTAGAGGACTACTACATTTTTGTGGACATCCACATCAGTTAAGGGATCCAAAATGGAATAAGCTAGGGGCGGCTTGAAATTATTTTGTAGACGCAATAAATGGATGACCCCTATATTGTTAAAACAAGAACCCTTGAATAATCTTGGAGAAGTATATATTACATGAAATATAGTGCAACAGAAAAGGAAATTGTTAAGGATGATCCAAATTAGAAGCAGGGTAAAAATAAAAAGTCAACTGCATTAAAAGAAATGTCCAGAAACTATAACGTAATACATGACAGCTCAGTTTTTATTTCTTTGACTAACTTTTGACAGCTGGTAACAGTTACCTACACAATCTTATACAAGACTGACATAGGAAGATATATGTGTTTGTATGAATAATTATATATATATATATATATATATATATATATATATATATATATATATACATATATATATATATATACATATATATATATATATACATATATATATACATATACATATATATACACATATATATATATATATATATATATATATATATATATATATATATATATATATATATATATATATATATATATATAAATATATATAAATCTATTCACATATGTAACTAAAGATAAATGCACATGCATAAACATTCTTTTTTACATCTAAACATCTCCAAAGATAGCCTTCAGAAAGTGACTATACTTTAGAAGAAAATATATAACCAGTTTGTGCCTACAGCTATACTGATTGTTGTAACACAAAGCAAGCAGAAAAAAAATGAGCAAGACAAAGTTTTTTTAAGCAGACCAGTGTTACGTTGAGCCCTGTAAACTAGGTTTGGGTAGGAACGGGATGGGAGAAATTTATTTCTTAAACCATGGAACATTTTTTTTTCATGATTTAAAACAATATAGACCTCATGTTTTTACTGGAAGTTTGTGGTGAAAAAAAAAAGGTAAAGATTACTGTTAGCATGTTTTGATGTTAACTGGCTTACCTCTTGTTGCTGCGTAAAAAAACAAGTAAATATTGTGGGTCTTATTCTTACAGAGTGTTTTAAACATACTTGTGTGTTTATATATGTATGTGCATATATGTATATTTTATACATACATGTATATATACATATAGAGAAAACAAAATGTAAAAAAAAAGCGAAAAAACTATTTTAAAAATGTATTTCTGTAAAACTAAATGCTCATTTTTTTGGGTTTATCGTGACAAATTTTGTAGTAAATAAAAATTAACTAAAATGTTACAATGGAAAATTTAACTTAACTTAGTGATCAATATTAAAAAAAAAAAAACTATTGAAATGTAAACAAAAGACTTAAGGAATTTCAATTTAACAAAAAAAAAAAAACACATTAAAATAAAGCAAATTAGAGTTTCAATAAAAACTCAACAAAAAAAAAACTTAAGAAAAAATGTGTGTATGAACAAATTATAAAAAGGTAAATAAAGTGTGACGTAAATAAAATAAGCATAATGCACTTAAAACAAGATTGTACTCACTTCTGGAAGTTGTTTGTGGAAGACTATCTGCGACAGCACCATTGGACTCGCAGTTGCCCAGTTGTAATACCTGAATAGCAGAATAAAAAAAGAATAAACATCACTGTATGAAAAATGTACACATATTTTATTCTAATGACTGTTAATAACAAAGAAATTTTTTAAAAAAATGAAATTGGCACACATTTTTAAAGAGGCACTAATACGTAATTACAGTATTTTTAATTAGAACGGTGTAGCAATTTTCATCACAACTGGTAATTGATCTACATGAAGTTTTATTTTCCTAGCTAACACTAAATATACTGTAACATCAAAACAAAAGCGTAATAGGGTAAAAATATAAATTTAAATCATTGCACAATAGATTGTTACAAAACAACTTTTTAAAATAGTAAAAAAAATTCTACTAAGTTTTAAAAAACAAAGAGAAAAACCTACTTGTCATGAATTTTCACCACCAGATCGGGATTTGAGGTGATATTGGGACTCTCAGCCAGGTCCTCAAACGTGACAACTTTTTGCATAAATTTGTCCAGAGTGATTGGCTCAGCATCATTTAAGCCCCCACAGAGCGAAAGAGCCACGGGGCCGAGGTGCCGCAGTTCAGACATGGTAAAGCTGACAGGGCCACCGATAGCACCCTCCACAGAGTTGGGGGACTGTGGTAAGGACTGGCCTCTTCCGGACTCTGTGTCGTCTTCATTTTCTTTAACACTATTAGATAACAATGGGAGGGAAAAAAATTATTTTACACTATTAAATAACAATACTAGAATTACATTTTATTTACTTTTTATCAATGGAAGACAATTTTCTTTTAACTGTTGAATGACAATGGAAGAAATTCACCAAATAATTAAACACAAAATCTTAACTTTAGTGGTTTTTTCAACAAAAATTGTTTTTAAAAACAAGGCATTGATTATTATTTACATTAGTGCCAGTACCATATACGATAAAGCTGTCAAGATACTTATAAACAAACACAAAATTTAAGCCCAATGCAAACTTACTTTGTTCTTCCAAGATATATCTTTGCCATTTCAGGATCATCCATGCTGGCAAGCTCGTCCAGATATATCCCCTCTGGTTTTTTCGATGGTGCTGGCTTGCTCCATATGGACATGAAACCACTGGTAGTTTTAACTAAAAAACAAGCAGAATAAAAGCCAGTCAACAACTACGGAATTACCTTGGTTTGTGATAGGCTAAATATTTTCAGACAAAACCTTCCGATTGTTATTTTTTTCACACAAGCAGTGTCAAATCTTGTGCAATAAAAATAAACCCCCACCTTCTTCACCTTTGGGTTCTAGTATAGTTTTGTCTGTTCTGGTGGGAGTGGTCTCAACATTGGTGGGGAACTCCCCCCACTGCCAGGTGGCGCTGGTCTCCATTAGTGCTGAGGTTTGACTTTCTTCAGTGTGTTGCTTGTCAACTTCCGTGTCACTCTTTGGTGTAGAAGGTCGAGTCCCTATAGGACTGAAACAATAATTTGAATTATTTTGAAATTGCATTTTCATTCAACACAATTTAATTTTTAACTGCTAAGAATTGTTTTTACATTTGGGGAAACTGATTATAAAAAATGGTTAAAAAATTAAATGATATAATGTATATATGAATGTTTTAAAATATGATTTAGAAAATCTATTTTTAAATATATAATTTTTAAAGCTAACCTTCCAACCGGTGAGGTCTCTGGCTCACTAAAAGGAGTCACAAAAGATCCACTGCCAAAAGAGTTAATCCTTCTGTAACTGGTTGTACCCTGCAGCATATCCATGTCTTTAAAGTCTGGAGAACTAGAGCTTCTAGCACCATATGCAGTCTTTTGAACCTCATCCTCATCTGATGATCCGGTAACCTCCAAATCAAAAATAACTTCCTCTGTGACATTCTCAGGCATAGACATTGACCGGGGGCTCTGTCTGTTTGCGCTTGACTTTTGCTTCTTCTTCTTGAGCACCTTCCTCCTTGGTTTGCTCGAGACTTTCGGCTCGTCCCAAGAGCTGTCACTGCGTGGGTCTCTAATTTTTAAAGCAAGCTGTTGCTCCTCTCCAGCTTCTTTCATTTGCTCTGCTGTACAGCCAGGAGCTGCTTCAGCTTGCTTGTGCAGATCTTCAAGCCCTTTTTCCATTAACTGCATGGAAGATGGGAGGGGTGAAGTGGCCAGGTATGCTGGTATATCCTGAAATGTTAATTTCACAAAATTAATAAACCTTAATAAAACAATTATTAAACTGTATTTAATTCAACTTAAATTAATATATTTATTCTAAAAATAAAAAAGCACAAAGGTGTATGCTTGACTGCATTTTAACTAACCTCTTCTTCTGATTCAATCTCTTGAACAAAGAATGCTTCACCAGCTTCCCCAAGTTTCATCTGCAAATCAGTGGGCTCTCCATTGACCTCAATGTCCACCTGTTGACCACAAACATATGAGTACATTTAAAATAAAGGACCCTTTCAGACCTGATAATCCACAGTGCAAATGTTAACTTTACTCCTCAAAACACAATTCACAAGTATCAATTAGAGCAGGTTAGTCTAAAGGACATCAAGTGGACAAGCAAAGAGCAGGTTAGTCTAAAGGACATCAAGTGGACTCAAGCAAAGAGCTGGTTAGACTTAAGGACATCAAGTGGACTCAAGCAAAGAGCTGGTTAGACTTAAGGACATCAAGTGGACTCAAGCAAAGAGCCGGTTAGACTTAAGGACATCAAGTGGACTCAAGCAAAGAGCTGGTTAGACTTAAGGACATCAAGTGGACTCAAGCAAAGAGCCGGTTAGTCTAAAAGACATCAAGTGGACTCAAGCAAAGAGCCGGTTAGACTTAAGGACATCAAGTGGACTCAAGCAAAGAGCAGGTTAGTCTTAAGGACATCAAGTGGACTCAAGCAAAGAGCCGGTTAGACTTAAGGACATCAAGTGGACTCAAGCAAAGAGCAGGTTAGTCTTAAGGACATCAAGTGGACTCAAGCAAAGAGCCGGTTAGACTTAAGGACATCAAGTGGACTCAAGCAAAGAGCCAAAGTTTACATTTTATGGTTAATAATTCTCAACTCTGCCTCCCACTCAATACCCAACAGTAGATTTAAAATACTCCTGCTCAGCTTAATATAAGAAGATACTTTAAGTAGTTTTATTACAAAGCTATTTAATCAAATGCACTATATTAATTTACAATTAAATAGGTACATGTAAATACGAACATTTTTAATCATTTGTGTTGGAATAGTATATCAAAGTGCTATTATAACAGCGACATCACATGTGTATAGAGTATATCAGACAACTCACCACTTTCTCCCTTGAACGAAGAACACCCAGTTTCCCAAACCTCACATGGAAAGGGGAAGAGTGATATGATCCATCTGGCTGCTTTACAATGACAACATCTATGGCACCCGTAAGGGTAGCTGGATTGATACCATTGTAAAATCCCTTAAGGTTTTGAAACAAACGACCAACCAGTGAAAAACTCATTGTGAGCTGGCTTCAAAGTCACAACACTCAAATTCTGAAATAGATGTATTGTAATAATAAATGAACATTCTGAGAATTTTAGTCAACTATTATCTGGCTATGTACTATGTACTCTTCAATGAAATGGAATGGGTGTTTAAAGTTAAAAATTACCTTTAGCTATACAACATTATCTTTTAAGAAGACTTTGTTCTTAGAAATGCTATGTGACATATGTAAAATACTTTCCTGTTGTTTATTTAATATTTACTAAATACTACTACTACTACTATTTGATGTAAGGCCTAAAATAAATTAAGAATTAAACAAGCAAGATCCAATAGATAGGCCAGGGCCTAACTAACTATATATAAGTAAAATAGTATATTTATTAGGCCTAGGCCCCTAGGCCTATATTAATTAAATTTATTATTTATGTAACAGATCTAAATCTAGTCTAGATCGACTATCCACATATTTACCTCGTCCGAATATATTACGTATCATAACAGGAACAACAACACAAAACTAACAACATCGGACAACACTACACTCAGACACTGCGTCAGTGTTAAACCAACTGCACACACTCCACACAGTACTCACACAGAAAACAGTTGTCTGCCTCTGGGACCCTAGTCACTAGGAGTTTGCTCAGATTGAAAGTGTAAGCAAAAAAATTACCTTATATTTTCAGTAGAATTTCTCATATCTCCGTTCCTACCTAATGAATCAACTTGAGATAGTTGAGGTCAGAATGGTGAATTTTCACAAAAACAGTCCGTGCGTTATCGTTAGACCTAATCAACATTGTAATAAATATCGCAATGAAGAGCTGTTCCTTCGTTTGCAGTCTCGAGGTACTTTTCAATCAGCCGATCAGATCATGTGACTTCAACTTGGAGGCCGAACCACAGAGCCGCGTTTTCATTGGATAAAAAAGAGGTACGGTGATTCTATTTTCGGTCAAGGGGCAAATGTGTCTACATTTCTAGGTCACCTCTCATGGTACGATACAGAATTTTTGTTGTGTTTTTCACCTAGCACGTGACTGAAATGCATTCTCCTGGGCTTGTTGTCAAACAATGAGCGTAGTAACCAGCAGATGTGATTTAATCAGCCCCCAAAATTCAATTACTTAGAACTTAATTTTAGTTTATGCTATTTATATAATACTACTAATTTCTAAACAAAGAAACCGGATTAATCTATTTCATCAAAACAATCAAATGTTATGATCGCTATACTTGCAACTACTTTTTAATTTGATAAGGCCATCTAGCCGAGCAAGTAACCAGTTTGTTTACTAGATTCTAGATCTACCTGAATATAACAGAACCAGTAGCGTAGCGAGGGGGGGGCGGGGGGGGGGGGACATATGTCCCCGGGCGCCGACCTTAGGGGGGGCGCCAAATTGAAAGTTTGAGGGGGGGTGCAAATGAAAAGTTCGAGGGGGGGGGGTGCAAATCGAAAGTTTGAGGGGGGGGGGTGCAAATGAAAAGTTCGAGGGGGGGGGGTGCAAATCGAAAATTTGCTCTCGAGGGGGCGCCAAATTGGAAGTATGTCCCCGGGCGCCGGGAAGGGTCGCTACGCCTCTGAACAGAACCAGCGTATATGATGGATGGTGTTTCTAATAATAGTTTTTTTTTAGGATAAATTTGGAGGCATGTAGGCCTACAAAATGAGAGGACTAAGTGTCGTCCAGAAGAAATGAAATAAATTATTTTGGCAACGCCGTATTGTAACTTTAGCTTTTAATATCTTTCTATCAACAATACAACTCAACAAGGGAAAGGACACTACATTGGCATTGTTTTATTTGTTTAAACGGCCAATGTGAAAAAAGGCCTTCGTGCCTACAATTGTGACCGTTTTTTGAAATTTGAATTTGCATACACATTATTTAAAAAAAAATATATAAATTTATTTAGACCTAGATCTATATAATTTGTAAACATCTGAAAAATAGCAAATACAAACTATGTAGGCCTAAATCCTATAATATCGGTTAATAATATTATTTGTAATATTCACTTGAGCATCGAAGTAAAAGTAAAGATTAGTTAGCATGTATGTAAATTCTGTTAAAAGAGTACACGTTTTTAATGAAAAATGAATCGCGCATTTTTTTCCCCCTGTAAGTAAGTTACTAAGTAAGTTTATTAAGGATTAAGCTCATAGGTTGTATTAATATTCGCGGGGGGGGGGGGGGGAGTTGCCCATGGAGCAACCGATATCCGACCCTGGTTGAATATTTTAACTGCACCCCTCCCCATCGGAGAATGAAATGACTGAAAGTTACCCTTGTGCCAAAGGGATCGCCTTGACCAAAGAAGTATACACACATATATATATATATATACACACACGCACGCACATAATGTTTTGTTTATTAAACTTCAGTGACGAAGAAGGACGCGATGATTCAAGATGATACAATGATACTACATCGGCAACCCCCGGACCTCTATAACCACGTGTGTACGGCTAATAGTAATAGATAAGTACATTTGTTAGGGGTCGACTGGCCCGCCAGTCTACCGGGACAAAACCCGGTGGGCCCCCAGGAACGGCGCTGTAAGATGCCTATCAGTGCTTTGATTTTAATTAAAATATTTGTCACGTGAATTTCCATGAAGCTGAGGATGATCATCCGATTTTGGTGGGGGAAAAGTTAGGTTAGGTTAGGTTTGCCTGTCGTCCCTCCTGGGACATCCTGGGCTAGTCTCTCCAACTATCCCCAGGTGCATCCAATCTTCTTGGTGTCTTCTTCCAGGTCAAGTCTCCATGTCTTCCTTGGTCAGCCTCTCTTCCTCCTGCCCTGTGGATTCCAGGTTAGGGCCTGTCTTGTTATGCTGGATACAGGCTTCCTGAGTGTGTGGCCAATCCATTTCCATTTTCTCTGGAGGATCTCTACTCCAGCTGGCAGTTGATTTGTCCGTTGCCATAGAACATCGTTTCTGATGGTTTTAGGCCAGCGAATTCGCAGGATCTTTCTGAGGCATGCTTTTAATAATGATTGTATTTTCTTCTTATTTATAGCAGTTATTCTCCATGTCTTAGCTCCATAGAGTAAAACAGGTTTTACTAGTGTGTGGGGGAAAAGTACACCATGAAATTTTTAAGCTGGGACTGGGGACTTTTTAAAAATTTATCGGGCTTCTTGGACGCAGCCCAGTAGCGGATTAAGGGGGGTGCTGAAAGGGCTGCAGCCAGGGGCCCCCGAATTTTAGGGGCCCCCAAATTTTGATTTCTCAACTATAGCAAATATTACTTTATCATTATTTTTTAATAGCTTAGTTAAAGTATTTGTTAAATGTCAGAAGTATGAGTTAAAATTCCATCAAGTAATTAACAAGCATCACTTAAATAAAAGCTTTATCAGTGAATGTGCCGAGACAAGCGAGATCCATCAGATACTCTCTGATCTTTAATGTTGACATTACTTGTCATCAACTTCACTTAGATTCTATATATTTTGCCTTATTTAACCAGCAGTCCCTCTACCTTATACCGTTACCGACTGAAAATGTTTTGAAAACCATTTAAAAATACATAGTGTCGAGGCTGAGGGAGGGTGGGGGTATTTGTATGAGGGGCTGTTTGCGCATTGGCATAGCGTAGATAGATAGAAATAAGACTAGACTATGCCTAGTAGAGACTAAAAAGGACGGTGTAAACTTGACGGTAGACGATTTGTTTCGAGAGAATGTGTTACATGGGTGTTAAATTTGGGGAAAAACGTCCCAGTTGTAGGGAGGGTCTGGCATAGTGAAGTGGATAGTTAGACATGGACCGATGTAGAAGTGGGGTTTTTTTTTAAGTATTGACCTTTTGAACGAGTGGCTTATAGATTAAAAATGTGAAACATCTCTTGTTCAAGGCACACTCTCACCCGCATTAATTGCACTATAGGAATTACCAAACAGGCCAAGAGAGAAGAAGCCTATAAATAAAGGTGTTACCGCAGTCCCGCACGGTAATACGAAACCGGATGAGACTCTATTGTAGGGCATGGCATCTACCCCCCCCCCCACCAGACATGTCCCCCAACTGTCTCCCCGCCCCGAAGTTTCATCCATTAATTCCATTGAGTTGTGAATTCCTTGGAATTTAGCCGGAATTTCGTCTTGATAAGTAAATTTTTTTAAATGAATTACTATTTGTATTAACTTTAATTTTAATTAAGCTTTATATATATATATATATATATATATATATATATATATATATATATATATATATATATATATATATATATATATATATATAGACTACCACTAAAGAGGAAGCGTCAATTTGACGAAAGCAAAGTTTCAGAAATGAAACTTTCTCTTAGAGAAAAATTTAAGACTGAAATATTTAACTGTGTGATCGACCACCTAACTACAGCTCTACAACATCGCTTAGATTCCTATAAAACTGTTCAAGAAATGTTCGATTTCTTCAGTGACCTGACCAACCTTAACACTGATGACATTACAGGAGTAGCTACAGAAATAATCTACAAATATCCCGATGATTTTGAAGAATGTTTTTCATCGGAGTTGATTCAATTCGCCGAGCTGTTTAAATCAATTCATGGGGGGGGGGGAGAGCAAAACATCTACAATGATAGCATTGAATTAGAAATGTTGATTTTTTAAAATATATTCAAGTCCATTCAGAGTTTTCCAAATGTGCACATTGCTCTTCGCATTTATCTGTGTATGATGACGTCTAACTGCAGCGGAGAGCGTTCATTTTCTAAAATTAAAAAGATTAAAAGCGATCTTAGAAGCACTATGGGACAGCAGAGACTTAGTTTGCTCTCACTTTTGACCATAGAAAATGACACTGTAAGCTCACTAAATAATAATTATACAGAACTAATAGAAGAGTTTGCTACCGGAAAGCTCGAAATTGTTCCCTATAAAAGTTACTTGGTCTTTAGTTCTAAGTAAAAATGAAATGTAATAAATTTATGTATTCATAATTTATTTTGCATTAGTAAATAAATAATGAATGCTTTTATGTCTCAATGTAGTTCAACATTACAGTATATGTAACATTTTTTTGTCTATGCCATGGCTTCTGTTAACATTTAGTTTATTCCATTCGACCTTTATTTCTGGGAAGGCCGCTGTTTTGGGATATCATTATATAAACTACATATATATATATATATATATATATATATATATATATATATATATAGTTGAGGGGGGCCCCAGAAAAAGTTTCAGCCAGGGGCCCCGCTGAAGCTTAATCCGCCCCTGACGCAGCCAATATACCCCTGACTTATAACAACAACAAAAAAACTCTAGCTGTGAGCCTGATGTAACACCTAAGCTAAAGCTGCCCCTAGTCGGCCTATGTACAATAAGTTAAGTTCTACTTTTTAAATTTCCCATTCAGTAACGGAACAAATTTCAAATGTCGACAGGAAGCAGATGGCACATAACATAAGCTGACCTTTTTGTGATGACCCCAACCTTTGCGTAAAATATTGGCAGTGTGATGCTAGTGAAGAGTAAAACCCAGAAGCAGGTTTAATTAAGTTTAATGTAGGCCAAGGTCTTCATCAGCGGCGCAGTTCACAATCAGAGGCGTAGCAAGGTCTTTGTGGACGGGCGAAGCGTCGAGTGTATAAAAACAGCGTCAATGTGCCACTTCATTATCAAAATTTTAGACCAAGTTCTCTTTCAACATTAGCCCGTTTTGTAATTTTGAAATTATTAATTTAAGAATAAGGCGCCGCTTTATACAGTGGCGTCAACAAGTCGGGTGACGCCTTGGGGGGGGGGGGGTAACCCAAGGTGTCACCCCCTCTGCCAATAACTATGACGCCTTTAAACTTTAAACATCCCCGACAGTGTCACACTGTGGCCATGCATGGTATGCAGTGTTTCTTTCATATTTTTTCCGAGGGTGGGGGGCACTTTACAATTGCGAAGGTGCACTAT